GCAGTAGTAGTAGTGGTAGTAGCAGAGGTACTCGGTAGAGGTAGGGGTAGTGGTAGTGGCAATGTGATCCACTCCACAGCAAGAGCGCCCTCAGTAACTGCATCGCCTTAACAGTTTCAATCGTAAGAACCTTATAGCATTACCACGCGATCCTGTTGTTTAGGGAATTGTGCCAGCATAGAGGCCCCCAAATTTGAAGGCGAGACTGTGGCGATAGCATCGTTTCCACCCAAAAACCCTCAAATACGCACCACTACGACAGGAGCGAGATTTCGCGAGTGCCAATTATGGGATATTCTTGCAGTTTGCAACGCTAGCAGCTGGGCCTCAAAGCGAACCTGGCGTGCATGGTGTCTCAGCGGGGCCGGGCAGGGGCGGACAAGGGCACAACAAGTGTTCGAGCCGTATCTGCACAAGTCGACAGCTCCGTTCGGATCTACCACTTGAAGAGCACACATCGCTAGACCATTAACTCAATCATGTTTACGAGGCAGACCATCCGGCCGAAAGGCTCTGGTTCGGCCACGCCATCTGCTTAAAACCACATTTGAGCAGAGGAAGGCGCTTTCTCTCTCAACGCCGAATTCCTGCTGCGAGTCGCAGGTCACATCCGTGTCTACATTTTGCAAATAGGTATGCCTCTGGTGTGCAGAGGTTATCGTTTGTGGCCGCATCTTCTGGCAGGTCCACAGCAGGTCCTCGTTGGTGCCAATGCCTCAGATAAATCCCTCTCCAGACTCCACATCTCACCCCTCACCCTGGGTTCCATTGAGGCACTCTTTACTACATTCAACCACCTGCCAAACGAACTTTGTCTGTATGTGTTGCGAATTGTTGCGAGCTAACTTGAATCGCTACTAGTATCCTACCAAGACAAGAGCTGTCCTTCAAAACTAATTGATGCTTGCAGCCGGCCGGCACTCGTCGACTAACAGCACCCCAGGTTCATGCCTGTGCAGCTGCACTGATGTCATGAACCGCAGCATCAAGCTGGAACGAAGTATCGAACAAAGGTGCAAGTACAATCGCAGCGCCGAGCTGAACGTTGCCAGCTCAGACTAAGGACCCTCCCGCCAAGTCTCTTGAAAGCCAAGGCACCCCCGGCCGTTGGACAGCAGAGCCCCTTCAGACCCAAGTTGGCGCATCCTTCGTCTTTCAATCTGATGCACGTGCTCTGAGATCGCACGATGCTTCCACATGAAATCTTGAGAGTACACACTATGAAAAACTCGAAGCTGCAAGAAACGTGGCTAAGTCATATCACAGGGCGTGAAGTGCGTGTCAGCAGACAAGCTGCATCGTGCGGCATGAAGTATGAAGTCTCACACAGCATTTGCTCCAGGCCAGCGAGGTAGGCACGTGGCCCATGGGCAAGTCAGAGCATTCTATGACACCAAACCTTGACATGGTATGCAACATGTGAGGCCAATTCAAAAAAGCACACGCTACCCGGCCCTTCCCGACATAGGCGCTTGACTATCAGGAAACTAAGCAACACTTGCATTCCCCTTGAAGGCTCACACCGAAGGTATATTATGGCTCTGCTGAACATGCGTCAGAGCCTGTATAGCATACTCACATTCTGCAACGGTATATGTTTCGGACATGAGCTTAGGTGCCCTGATTGCAGCTATGTTTTCAAACAGATGGGCAAGTACAAAAACCTGTTCACAATTTGCCGCTTATTTACTCGAGATGAAGTCCTTTGTGAAGCTCACACTCGCCACCGCTGCCACCGCTGCCACCGCTGCCACCGCTGTCGCCACTGCCGCTGCCGCCGTTAGAGTCGGACCTGCTGCTTCTGTCGTGCTGTTAGGTGCTCACTCGCTCATGCGCGTCTGTGCATACATGCATGCACATTCATGTACAGTAATATCATTCAACATGTCATATGTGTAGTGGAGCAGGTATGCATGTGCGCAGACGCGCTGCATGCGCCGTGTTGGTCTACATGCGGGTGTGAGGTAGGAAGGTACAGCGCGCGAGAGAGAGAGAGAGAGAGCAAATCATGCCAAGGCCGTCTTCCTGGATTTGCTGAACCAGATGTGCAGCCATAACTGCAGAATCTTCGAGACGCATCCGTCTTTCCCAGGTGGCGCAGACAGGAATAGCAAGCTGCTTCTCTGTCACCCTCCAAGAGTGAACACTCCGAAAGAGACTTGGACCCTCGTTACCCACTTCGCTCTCGATTGCTTGCTGGGTGGCTTCGGCGGGGACGGTGCTGGCGCATCATGGTGTCCTCGGTGAAACCGAGTCTGGGCTGCCGAAAAAAATTTCGCACACCTGCGAAAGGTGGTTTCCCAAGAGGTTGAAGCCTCGCAACCTGCATCCCATCGCTGACATCTCCACTCGAGGTCTTATTCCGAAGTTGGAAGCAGGCTTGAGCCTGAAGATTCGGATGTCCCGGTTTCGTCTTGCCGGGCGTCGCGGTGGTGGTGGCGGTGGTGGCACATACGAAGGCTTGGAGGTGATGACGTCGGGCCATGTGCCTGTCCTGGGTACTTGCTGCCTTCCGAAGCCAACACTCCACCATGGCAGAGAAGAATCATCAAGAGGTGCAGGCAAGGCTCGTTGTCTCCGGCGCAGCTGTCGTGGTGGTGGTCTTGTAGCACTTGCCCTTGAAGGCCACATAGCCATCGTTGCACAAGCAGCGTCCCTTCACGCACCTGAGCTCCAGAATTCGGTCCGCCACAAAAGTCTGCCGCACCTTTTCCTCTTTCTGCCACGGTGCGACACTTCTCCTCGGCTCTTGCTGCAGCCAAACCAGCTGCAGGTGCCGCCTCCCCAGACCGAGCCGAGGCCGAAGGAACCGAAGGAAGTCTTGGACGGTCTCTTTGTTTGTCTAGGCTTTTAGGCTTCCTTCACAAAATTTCACAAACTTCAAAAGGTTTCGTACTCACCCTGCAAAGTTCTCTGATCGATCGCGCCTCATGCGTTCTCCTGTCTCTCAAGTACACCCGAAACCCTGCACCGTCAGACCCGGAACTACACTCTGAAACCCTTGCCGCTACGGTGTCACTTCTCGAGAAGAGAAACACAGTTCGACCGGCAGGTACAGTTTTCAGTGCACATAGCTTTTGGGAATTCAGTGCTGCATGGAGCAGCACAATGAGTCAGCGACCTCATGTCTGACATCCGAATCGCAGTTCATTCCTTGAGTTTGTCGGCGGTTCTAATGACGGGGACATGAGACGCGTGTACCCTACCTGCCTTACGGCCAAGAGTTTCCGCCCCGCCTGTGTCCTGGCTGACCTGGGAAGACGATTCCTCCACACAGGTCTTCCTTTCTTCGCCTGCAGAGAACCAAATCTTGTCTGAAAGCCGGCACAGCTCAGGCTCAGGACCCGGCTCCACGTGGCCTTGTCCTCGGCTACAGAAGCGCTCTCGCGCATTCACATGGTTCTCATGCAGGACGTCCCTACCAGTCCCGTCGCAAGGTCAACAGCCTGAATATGCCATCGTCAACAACCCCCGGTGCGCATGAGGCACGACGAGCAAGATACTCCACAGCTGCATACCAAGGCTCTTTGCAAATGCACCGAAAGTGATGACAGGTCACATCTCCCAATTTAGCAGTATCGCAGTTGCTCCACATGCAGGAGACCCCTGCAACAGAGCTGAAGACACAGACGACAGATGCACTCCATTCGAACGTTGCATGCCGCTGCACAGCCTGTTTCTCGCCCCGGCTGGTAATCTGCTGCCTCCTCACCTCAGCTTTGATTTAAAGCGGGACCAGCATCAACCATCAATTCGACAGGAACTTGTGTCCCGCTCGGCATAGACCACGCCAACGAAGAGAACACCGACAACAACTTAAATAGCCAGGTACCCTCAAGTGGCTTCACGCAGTGACAAACCTGAGATTTGAATAACTACACCATGCACTGCTGCAAAGTGCAGCCCCGGATTTTTTAACACCCAGTAGGAAGTTTACTCGCACATATACACAACAGTTTCACGACAAGCACTGCATTTCAGGGCCCTCACTGGTGGCATTGCCTCGTACGTGGAGCAGGCCCAGGGCACAAGACGGGTCGGAACATGTGTCGTCCTCTGAAACAACGGGTTCGCACCTGCATGCTCCTTATGTTTCTTGAGACTCAGCTTTCCAGGCCCTGTCCTGGTCCAGTGCTTCGTGGATCCCATCTGCTGCTGCCACCAGCAGCGGCAGCAAAAGCAGGGCTTTCGCCATGAGCGCTGTTCACTGAGCCTGCGGATCTCACAGTCTTTCATTCCAAGTTCGGTTGGACTCTCGTTTCGGTGGCCGTCAGCGGGTGCGAACCCCAGGACCGTGACGGAAAACGAGACCGCCGGAAACCCAAAGCAATGAGATGCTGCAGTCTGCCCTGCGCCTGCAGGAGAGGCAAAAAGAGATCGTGGCTGCGGAAATGTTGATCCCAGAAAAGGCAGCATCAGCCGGCTTTCAACTCACTGCATCTGTTGGATAAGTATCAAATTCAGCAGTTGCACTCACCACACAGGGCCTCCCTCTCTTACGCTTGCGGCAATGCATGCCAAAGCTAAACTTGGCACAGTCGGCTTGGATGCTGGATCTGCACAAGAGCTCTCTGTTTCCGAAGCGATCCCTCTGCGCTGTCCGACGTTGTGTCATCATCGCACATCTCACCCACTCCGCGAAGCCTCACGGCAATAGCGCAGAGATGTGGTGCGCAGAGGTCCGAGGCACATGGACGTGTCTGCATGTGGCTGCGGCACATGCATCGTATTGCATCTTGCCTGGCATCTCCTCCAAGGAAGATCAGCCAGACGCAGACGGGTATCCAGTGAACCAGCGCCGCTGCCCACAGGTTGCCTGCCCAAACTTTGATCAGCTAGCATCGAATGCCGAGCTCACTTTTGCGTATTTTTGCGTGTGGCAACTCTGGAGTTCTGTAAGGCGCAAGCCTGATCCCAGGTACACGAGGCTGCAGGCGATGCCCAGCCAGGTTGCGAGATACCTCAGAGCTCACACACGGCAAGGCCCTGTTAGGGCCCCCAAGGCTCTCCACAAGGCTCTCCACAAGCTCCGTCTCCCAAACTCCGCGCCAAGGCACAGGAAGCGCGGGTCCTGAAAGGTCCTGCCGAGCAGAGCGCAGAGACGCGTGGGCACACTTGCAATCGGGGTCCCCAACCTGCCCTGGTCTTTCGTCGCACCCGCTCGCGACAGTAAAGGGCCGGAGACCAGGTGCATAGCCTCAGCTTGCCGAGGCAACAGGATTTCTGACCCGCGTGCACCAAAGCGGCCATGCCGCCACAAAGAGCAGCAGGCAAGCGAATGCCCATAACCTGGGCCGTCTGGGCAAGTATAGCAAATATGCTGCCGCTCTCACCGATTGCATGGCTCTTCAAGGTGCGAGACGAGCTCGACGCCTTAAACATGGCAGCCCGAAGACCAGAACCCGACCAACAAACCCCAAGGTGACACTAAACACCAAATCTGCAGCAAGGCTCCACTGCTGCATCGACAGCCAAGGCAGCATTCCCCATTTCGAAGTCAAACCTGCAGAAGTACCCGATCAGAAGGTGGGGAAGTGCCAGGTCGCCAGTTTGCTGACGGTCACCGATTCGTGTCGTTTACTAGCACGACCCGGCTCGGACTGGAGCTGAGACATCTGAGGCAGTAGACAACTTCGTGGCCTCGCTCTTGTCTTGCTCTGCACTCTCTTGGAGCGATCCTATATAGTTTTAATCTAACGTGTGTTAACCGGGAGCCACCTTCGGAGAGGTCCGCATCGGCATTGGGCCTAAGATTGCCGGCACCAAGGCTTCATAAAGGTTACAGTCTCAGTTGCGCAGAAGCCGCATTCAAGCAGCTGCATTTCAACACACTCTGGCAACTAAGCTGCAGGAGGATTGAGCGCCAGAAAGCCTGACAAGTGCCGTGCGCACTACGTTCAAGCAGCATCGGTCGCATCACTGCCGTGACTGATAGCGACTGAAGACCTAAGTATGTTGCTACGAGTAGTACTTTCCCGGCTCCGCCTTCGTAAATCACACGATCGCCTGAATCACACAACTGTCCCCTGCGCTGATACCCCATCATGAAATCGGAACATCCCTGAACCTCCTCAGCCAGCGCTGGAAAGAACAGCGCTCGCGCAGCCAGCAACACTGCCACGCGCGCACTTGGGGGCCTCGACCAGACCTGCCCCCAAACGCTGAGGAGCTGGCAACTGGCATTTCTGTGGTTGGCCTTCTTTCTCTTTGAATCCAAGCTGCCAGGAAGCCGTGCCCACGTCCGAGCAGCGGCACTGCAGCTGCAGCCAGGGCCAGAATGGCACCTGCGGTTCTGGCGCATGGCCCGATGGCATATGCGCCGCGACCTTTATTTATAGTAGGACTCGGATGAGACATTACTCTCTGATTTCGTCAGTGTTCCAAGTTCCAAGCCATCGCGCAGTGCGGCAATCGGTTGGAGGATCGACTCCATTCCACTACACGCCTCCCCTTCTTTTAAGTCTTGCTTGCCTCCGGCAGCTAGCAGTGCTTGGCTCGAGGGCACGCCACTGGCCGCCACCAACTGGCAGGAGCATGTGAGGAGAGAGACACCGCTGTGCCATGGATTCCTGTGCGCCTGAGGCCCCCACACGTGCCCGGCACAGGAGCAGCAAGCTGCTGAAGTCCATGTACCAACCTAAACGGCCCCCGAAAGGCTTCCACTTTCAGCATGTCCCGCCGAATTTCATGGCTGCGAGCCTCGCTCGACTGCTGAACGTGGTGCTTGTGCAGCGGTGATTTAATGTCTGTGCCATTCTGCTGAAGCCCGGCCGCGGTGACATTCAGTGTACAGTATGCCGTCAAGGACTTCTTCGCCCGGTGTTCCTACCCACCATCAGCCGACATCCGTCACAGCACCTTGACTAGTCGAACACGAGGTCCGCGCACATCGGGTGACCCAGTCATGTCTTCCAGCGCTTTGATGGCAAGCGGTGCTGTGTCGCACGCAACCGAAAGGCCAGGTCAGGCCCTGGCTCGACATCCCCATCGTCATTCACGAGAGTCAGCATGCGGTATAATGGCTTTGTGCCTCTGTGCAACCTTCTGAAGCGACCGCCACAAACCGCTTCATGGCCAACTCCAGAACTTTTTCCAACGAGAGGCCAAGGCTTCGGCTGGGCTGCCGAGGCTTCGCAAGCAGCTGCCCTAGACCTCTGCAAGCGAACGAAGAGCACTCAAGGCGAAGCGTCGGCGATGTCTCAAAACGCTCAAACGTGCCTGGCAGCTGCCTGAAGCGGCTCCGGTGGTGGTGGCTTCTACGAGGAACCTGTCCGTCAAGGATGAGTTGCAGGCTCTTTGAATGCAGAGCACATCCTGGGTAACCTGGAGCTGTGTTCGAACTTAAGCACCCACGACGATCAAAGGCTTCAAACTCGCCAGCTAAGACTGCATTGCCCCGAAGGGGACCCATGCCCTCCTTTTTGTTTACAGAAGTCGCCTCGCCCTTGTAGAGTGATCCCGACAAGGCCAGCGCTTCTCGCGGTCTCGTTATCTGCGTGGCCGCTTCCAAAGATACGGGATGACGATGTGGGCTTGCAGACTGCACTCGTTTTGAGTGATATTCAAAGGCCCATCTCGGGCAGCGGCCAGGCTCATGACGTCGATCATCCCCGGCAATAGGTCATCAGGAATGCTCTTGATTCCTACCAGCCGGAACCTACTTGCGAAGACTGTGTGTGGAGTTGATAGTCCGATGAACGTCAGTGAAGCGACCTGAACGGTCGAAGGGTGAAACTAGTCTTTTGTCTACAGCATCACCAAACAGCTCTGGGAGGTCGTTCTGATCCTTCCAGGATGGCCCGAACAACGGCTTCTGCTTCACGGGACACTCGAAAACACAGAAGCACCACGAACAAACGCAGCACAACTTGCCGGCCTGGCCTCACGCGGCCGCCTAAACGGCAGCCTGCTCGCTCCTGCTGCACATGCTGAAGGATCATGTAGAGTCTACAAAGCCACGTCTCCAGATCATCGGAATGCGGTCTGTGACCTGAAGCGTCCTGAACCTATCACGTCGGTTTCTGGGAGCTGTGCTCTGGGTTCCGCACCTTCTGTGGACTAAGACGGCGCTTGCCGCTGCCGCTGCAACTGCCGGGCCTTGAAGGCCTTGGATTCTCGAGGTCTCGCCAGGCTTCAAAAGCTCTAAAGGTCTCTGAAACCCTGTTTCCATTCCACGGCAAAACCTTTGATCCATTTGCTGAAAAGATTCATACGCCAGAGGGTCGTGCGCCTGGCTTCGAAATGTGAAGAGCCACTTGTCAGATGCGGGCGAAAGGCTATCTCGAAGGGATTGCATGACGGGCATGATAGGCTTGATAGGAGACAATGCTGAGGCGAGGAAGTATACAGTATCCAGCGATCTAGGAGAGCCTCTTGTGTGACTTACACGGCCCCGCTCAGAGTAAGATAAGGCCAGATGTTTTCGTGTAGGGGGATTCCATTGAAGGCTCGAGTCCGGGAGCTCGAGAAAGAAACGCGGCGCCGCATGACATCCTGTTCGTCAGACATCTCCTTGAATCCTGCTTGCCTGCAACGGCCGGGCCGGGGCGCTGGAGCAAAGCCACTGCAAACTCCTCTCGCAAATGCCGGTAGTTGGGTGCTCACTTAACAGCTATGCAAGCTTGTGGAGCTGATGACGCCGACAAGACGTCAGAACGGGATAGCAGCCATGCGTCCACTCATGTCTGAAACCATGACCCCGCGAGGAACGCTGCACGTCTATAAACACTTCGAGAGCTGCTCAGATCATGTCAGGACACTTTGTGAGAGCATGCAAAGGCTGAAAAGTTTTGGGTCCTGTAGCAAGCCACTAGCAGAACTCCAAGGAGCATGCTCACGGCCTCGACTTGACAGCATGTATGCATGTGCACTCAACGTTTGCAGCATAGACCAGTCAACGATTCCATCCAGATCTCGGTCCGGACAGATGCTTCGCAGGACCCAGCGACCCCTCAGCCAAGGGGCCATGTAAAGGTGCAGCGCTCGGAAGGGCGGTGGCGTATCTGGCAAGAGCAGCTGGAAGTTTCGAGAAGCATCGGATGCGCGGTGCCTATGGCGCTGTGGGGTCTCAAATCTAGGACCTAGGATGCAGGATTTCGGATTATGTTTGGGTTCGTCAAACGTGCATCCGGAATGCATGTTCTCATCAGACCACGCTTCAATACTGCAGCGCTGCAGACATCCATTCAGCCCAATCCTGACGCCATCAGCCCGCTCCAAGCGCTCTCCAATGACGCGCAACATGAGAACACAGAGCGATATCCAAGGAAGCACATCCGGATTTGAGGCTGGAGGCGTCCTCGCAAAGAACTCGCAAGTCTGTCCCGCTCCCTGGATGGGCCTTCGGCCTGCCCGACGGACCAAGCCATTGGGCCGACCTGGCTAAATGCGGCGAGAGAGATTAGATCTGCCCGCGATGAGACATACATATGCATTCATACATACCTACAATATTATCACGGCTCTTCCACCTACAGTGGTAGGCAGTCCTTTGCTGCTGTACGATGGTACGCGGTATTCTATGTCAATGCGTTTTGTGCACTGCCATGCGGCATACCATCTCGTCATGGCATTGGTTCATTATAAGAGAGGGGGAGGGAGGAAGTAGAGACCGCACACGCCTGCAAAGCCGTGGCCCGATGAGCCCTGGCTGGAAGTCGTGCCTGACACAGCTTGTCAGTCTGAACACCAGGTGGAAGCAAACATGTTACCAAAGTCTGAAAACTTACTGTCTCGGCGTTTTCGCATAAACCTTTGCCAACTGCGGAGCTTTGCCGGGAGGCACAGCGCCGCTTGCTTGAAGCTTTCAATACGCTGACACTTTGTCCAGCCAGAGAGGGTTTCCAGCACAGCCGTTCCTGCAACCTGATTTGGGCACCAAACAGAAAATTGTAAGACCCCGCAACCTGCAAGCTGGTGATCAGTGTTTCTGTTCACCACTGGTGGCTCCCACTAGGACCCCTGAACCCTGAACTCCTACTACGAGAGGGCGATTGAAAGCTTCGCCGCCGCAAGCGAATCATCCCAAGTGCCTCCGGCACATCCCCAGGAGGCAGCTCTGCCTGGAGACGCGCGCACAGACACGCCCACACAGAAACACGCCCGTTAACACATATGGGCCCCTGGGCCAAAGTCGAAGACTGTAAGATGATAACTTGTTGTGACATATGTGCTGCAAGTGCTGCACTTACGGCAACCTTTGCCACGTAACATCACATGGCCATACATGATGGTGCATGCCAGTGTGGCAAACTCCTTGACAAAGGCTCTGCGGGCACACGCCTTGCCTCCGTGGCGTTCAGCGCCACCTACGAGCACGTGCAAAGGAAATCCTGTCGCCTGCACCAACTCGTGACCTTGACGTTACGAAAAATCAAGGTGGAGTGGCCTCGATCCTGTTCGTGCGATTGACGCTAACGAGCGCATCGGTGAGGAACAGAAGCGACATCCTGGAATTGGAGTTCGGCGGTCTGTAGTTATTGTCTGTAGTATTGTCGGCTTTCTTCTTACTTTTGACTTGTTGGGTGGAGTCTAGGCAATGTTCCAACCTGGATGGAACCCAGATGTCGCACTTACTTGCAACGGAGGCACATGTAGAATCGTCCCAGGGACGTGCTATGGAATCCAAGACTTGCAGTCATGTCTTGTCCTTGCCAGGGTCTGACACATCTGGATCAGCACGTGAAGCAGTTTAGAAAGCAGCAATCTGATGTGTTTTGACAAAGTACTGACGACGCCCTGCCAGTTTCCCACTCCCAGCAGCATCTCCCAGCCTGTATCGAATTTAATAGAGCTGTAGTTGGTGAAGGATGAGCCACTAACAGCTGCGAGCAGGGAACTCTATGCTCTGTATGCATTCCTGCCTCCATGTCACGTGAAACCCTATTGGTTGGGCGGCTCCTTTCTGCCAACATCTCGAGCAAGCAGCCTCAGACACAACTCCCAATCGTGCATGACCGGTCAAAGATTGGTGTGCAGTGTGCAGGCTCTCAGCCGAGCTTTCGCATCAAGAAAGCGTGGCACGCACAGGAGTCCTTCGCGCAAGTGACAAAGCTGCGAAAGGACTCATGGGGGCGTGAAACTGCAGCTCGATCCACGGAAGGTTAGCAGACTTCCTTCGCGGACCTCAGCTTCGAAGGCTTTCTGAGATTCATGCACTTTGGACTACGTTTCGGGTAACGAATTTTGACTTTTAGGATAAAACCAAAAAACAAGAAAGTAGGAGGACGCCTTACAAAGCAACATCTACCAACTAATTTGGGTTCTTGCGCTAGAGAACACGGTGGGCCGGACACGCACTCCTCTTCAGCCGGGCTTCTTCTTCCATCCCCGTGTGTTGCGCCGGCCGCCCCGCGCACCGCAGGGCTCCCTGGCCATGGTGGCGACCAGACGACCAGACGGCTGGAGGCCGGCCTCTGGGCATGCGGACAGAGACAGCGTATGACAGCGTCTACTCATGAGTTTACATTTGGGAGACAAGTTTTCTTAACACGTTCAGGCTCAGCCTCGGTCCTCTCAGGCTGTAGGAAGGGTTTGAGTTTGTCTAGATTCACAGGCCGGAAGGTCTGTGGTTCGTGAGAGCCCGGCCTGTGTCATGCGGCTGATCATCTCGGAAGCGACATCGGGGTTGCGATTGTGGGCCATGACCACGGCCGACTCGAGAGTCTCTCGGTTCAGGCGAACTGAGCAGCTCAGAGCGTCAGCTAGAACCTGCGAGGCCCTGATCGCCTCTCCGAACTTCACACAGCCACTTAGCAGCGTCTCGAAGGTCTTCCCATCTGCTTCCATGCCATCCTCGAGCATGCGCTGGTACGCGTCAAAGGCTTTGGGTAAGTCGCCACTCCAAATACACGTGGACATCAGGCAGGTGTAGGCCTGCGTATTGAGCCGGAATCCGAAGCGCTTCGGATAATCCTCAATAACCTCCAGTGCCGCCGGCAGATCTCCGCAGCGGCCGTACAGCTTGACTAGAATAGAGACTGTGAAGTTGGAGGGCGCAACCCCGGCTTTCCTTACGGATTGACAGGCCACAAATTAACAAATACAAAGGTGCTCCAGCGAGACAAAGCCAAGCATCTCCATATCAGCCAGAACCTCAGCTGACAGTACGATTAGCGACATAAACGCCAAAGAGGACGCGCGACTGTCCGGGCAACTGCCGATGCAAAACTCTGAATTACAAACTGCAAGAGCCCGAATCATGGCCACGCCTCTTCCGTCAGAGCACGCCTCTGACTCCGAGCACAGCCATGCCTGGCTTCAAAGGCACGGGAGTCACCATCTCTTGCTCTGGCAATGTTTATGGCCAAGGCGCAGGATGGAGTTGAAGAGTATCGAGTCTGGCTGAATCCCTTGACCCTGCATCTGGCCCATAAGCAGGATCGCTGTCCTGACGTCTCCGGAGCCCTCTCACGAAACTATCAAAGTTGCAAAATCACTCAGCGACATAACCTCACAACACCACGCAGAAGCTGACATCCCAAAGCAAAGCTTATCCAGACAAGTTCATCTGATTCTACTTCGCCAGCCGAGTCTCTCGAGGTCTCCGGAGCTCGCAAAGCCTGCGCCACTCTGGGATATGCAACTTCGGATCGGGCGTCTGTATAAAACACTCATAGCATAGCTCTTCCTGCTGCCTCTGGGCCACTCAACGCAGGCTTCCGGAAAACTGCTGGTTGAGCAAACTCACCGAGGCAAAATCCGAGAGACACTTGAATCACATCACACCATCACGGCAGCCTTTGATGAGGATGGAGAAGCTGATGAGATCGGGTCCTGAGCATCAGAATCCGCCGTAGCGAAAGCGCTCCCGACATGCGGAAGAGGGCGGAAGATTTTGTTTCGAGTCCTGTATCCTGGCACGCCATGTCCCGAAACAGCTGCATGGCTCTCTTGAGATCTCCTGCCCGCACCAATGCCTGAGGCAAGATGTAACGAAATCATGTCAGTGATGGATCCGTATCGCACACCGCAGTGCCTTAAAGATTGCATATAGAAGCCGAGCAAACAACATGGCGATCGGTCTCAGCACTAGCGTCCTTCGATGCTGAGGCTTCCAAGTTGCATCTATCAGGGTGTTGTACGTGACCGCCGTGAGTCGCAGTGCACCCTTGGTCTCTTCGTAGAGCCTGGAACAGGCTGTGTCTCGGTGTAAGAGTGACCCTCCCTCCGCCCTTCGAAGGCAAGGCATAGCAAGGCACTCCACGGCAGCGGTCAGCTGCTGAGACGCAGTCGCAGCCTAGACGAGAGCACAGAAAAGCCCGGGCCCGGCTGAGTCGCTTCGGACATCTTCGGACCTTGACAGCCAGCGCGAAGGCCACAGCGGCTCGCGGGAAGCCAGCAAGGAAAGCCCGGGATTCCTGCTCCAGCGGCTCGCGAGGCTTCTGGCTTCTGAGGCTCCACATCTCCGGGCTTCGGGTTCCGGTTGGGGACAAGCTTCGGTCCTTGAAGACACGCAAAGCCGCCTTGACGTCCGAGGTCGCCAAGCAAGCATCTACCTTCTCACCCGCATGTGCAGACGGCTGAACACACAAACCCTGCAGAACGTTCAAAAACCGACACTGGGACCGCTGGTACTGCAGCAGAGCGACCATGCTCATGAAGGCATCCTCGTGCTCTGCATCAAAACAACAACACCAGACAAATGTCGATCTTGGAGATTCCAGCAAACCACACTATCCAGGAGTCGGCATGTGCAGGAGACACAAGCCCTGTCCTCCGTCGGCATCGTATCTTCATCTAGCCTTCGGCGGCTTGAGAAACATGCCGTGATATTTCTGAAAGGAGTTAGCTAAAGGCACACACCTGTGCCAAGGGACCTACCGGATAACACAAAGAACCAAATCGCCCTCATTTCGGATTCGGATTATTTTCAAGCTTGTTTGAATTCTTGGGAGGCAGGTGCATAGCATGCGGTGTGCTGGAACATGTAAACTCTTGGTGTGTTTGTGTTGGCTCCTGCACGTGTGTCGAGGTCATGATCGGTTGACGACTGTAGAGGATGGGCGATCGCCAGACGCAAATGAAATATGGGTGACTGTATAGAGAGGGCTGCCAATCGCTTCCTTGCAGGACCGCTGAATTGAAAGTTCACTCAGAGAGCACCTGTAGCCCTCATTGCCCGTTCTGTTCTCGCCGAGTCGCAGCCGCCGCCAGAGACGCCAGGCCTCGGGCAAGTTCCTGGCATGCCCGTGGGCGCGCATCAGCATCACGCAGGCCTGGCGAGAAGAGTGAAGCTCCGACGGCCAAGGAGACATGTCTTGGACATTCGTCCCACGTTGGACACGTCAATCCGAGTGGATGGGGCAAGGGCAAGCACAAAACCATGAATGCTTGAACCTTGGACCGTGCACCCCACAATTTGAACCTGCTCGAAACCTGAATCGAAGCTATGATGCTCTTATCAAGCGTCGTGCCACGGTTGATTGCAACCCCGGCGCATGAGGCGAGGGTGCCAGTCCCGTCGTTTCCCAGCGTCTGAGCAGTTCCGGTAGTCTCGAAGGGTCCTCGGCTGGGCGCTGCTACGAAGAAGTCAGAAGTGGCCACTGGGATGCCACCGCAATGCCTGGAGGACAAGGCACCTTCAGCCGAATGCAGACATCCAACAGGCAGTTCAGCAGCACTTCGTCCAGCACGATTCCGCCTGGGCCACTCGGTTCAAGAGAGAACGGAGAACGGTAAACGCTGAGATCCCAGAAGGTCTGGGTCTTGTTCAGTGTCAGTACGGCCGTTTCACATGCTTGCGGGAGCCAATCTACTGAATCTACTACAAGACGCTCCTAAATGAACGCAGCTCTATGAAAATCGAGCAGACAGGATATTGAGCGTGCACCCCTAGACATTTTCTCGCCACAGAATCAGATGCAGTAGAATCTACAGTAGACTATGCTGAACCCCCCCCAGGTCTTTTTTGTGGCCCAGAAGATAGTCAGATAGTCGCTTGTAGATTCTACTGTGGACCTTTCCTTGTGATTCTCCGGTCTTGCACTGCACGGGGCGGGCCTTTGAACATCAGCTCCAAGATTTGGTCCAGGCCCTGCGACGTCGGAGAGTGTCGCAGTCCTTGCGCAAGCTGGCAAGCTTCCGGAATGTAGAAGCAAGTCGAAGCACGACCCCCGAGGCCCAGATGCCAAAGAGCTCCCCTAGAAGCGCAAATCCGAAGACAGCGACAGCGATGCGTCTAGGCACCTGCTGCCAAGATCGAGCAGGTGAAGGCATCTGGCTCCAGGCCCGCCCCTTGCATCTCCTGCATTGCTGCTGTGGGCAGGCCTGGGGATCCCAAACCGGGGAGGTGCCGTCAAGGCCCCGGTCCTGCACCAGCCGCCACGATTGCCGTGGATTCTGTTGTGAAGCCTGCAACAGGTGACGCCAAACCATGCCAAACCAAAACCGTGCTCTGCTGGAACCGTTCCTTGATGAGCGAGTTGTAGGTCACCACATTGGGCTGAATTCCCCTGCTGCGCATGTCCTGCTAGGCTTCATGAGGCGCTATGCCAATGTGCACAAACTTTAGGAAGTTAGACATCCTCCAGCGTGATTTTGACCTGGGTATGGTCTTGTACAGCAAGCAGCAGCTTCACGTACCTGCAGGCATCAAGACCGTTTCAGTCCAATCACGCTGTGGCGACTTGAAACATTCAGCTTTACCGGATGGAGCGACCGGGCTCTCTCTTGCCACCACGCGGCGTGTTGTACGACACGACATCGACGTGACCCGCTTTCCTCGGGACAGAAGCCAGGGGAAGGCGGAACTATCATGTCAACTTTCTATCTCCGCCCGAGGCACGTCATATTCTGCATGAGATCTTCGGCGGCCTTTCTGTCACCACAGGCAACACAGGCCTTGCAGATGAGAGTTTATGCTGCATCATCTGGGAAGGAGAAGTGTCTGGTAGCAAAAATCACCGCTCAGACTGACCGCTAACCCCCAACGCAGGATGTCCGGTCATCTGGGTGTATCCACGGTTGTCAAACGGGTGTCATTCCCTCAAAGCTGACACACACAAACCCAAGAAAAGGGTTGCAGAGACACTCTCAACAAAACACACCTGAACGTCTATGAAGCCTTCAACCTTCAATTGGCACCCGCACAATCCTCGCATCTCACCTCCAATGCGCAGTTGTAGGTGGTCGCATCGAGTTCCGACCTTTCTAGTGTTTCGCCACTCGGAGACACATGAAACCCTCTGGGTTTGTGCCGTGTTGAAAATCAAGACTGGTCTTTAGACTCCTCCAGACCTCAAAGTCCGGAGCTCGGGAGCCATGCTAGTCCGGAAGCACTGAGAACGAAGGCTCCGACGTTCCCTGAAGCTCCGCGAGAAGGCTCAAAGCCTTTGCGATGTTCCGGTCCCGGCCAGCCGAGCGGATCATGGACATCACATTCATGACCTTTCTGTAACGGGAGAACCCTTCTTTCTGGTGCGAGGCTTCCAAAAAAGCCAACCCCGAGCTTCAAAACTCTGAGCTCGCCGCATCCGGGTTCTTGGACTCCTGCCACGGAAATTGCACAAAGTGTGCGAGCGGAGGTCACAACACCCTGCCCTTGAGGCTTACAGACGAAGAAGGAGAGCTTTGCTGATCAGCATCACAGGATCATTGCGAGATGCCTTGTTGACAGGATACAAGTTGTAAAAACCGGGCTTGTTTGGTGACCCAGTGAGTGGGGGACGGGCAAGAAAGACAGGAATCAGGAATCCAGATAACCCCAAATGGCACACCGAGAGAAAAACATTCAGCCTTGGCGACGTCACGACAGATCACAACAACATGACCGCCTCACACTTCTGTCTCATGTTCGTTCTCTGCCTGTGGCAAAACGGATCCCATGACACTACGAGCAACCCTCCCGTTTGACACGTCATGCACACACTATACTAGGGAATGTCCCGAAAATCTGTATAACCCGTGGCCTGGAACAAGTGTCTCGCCAAGGATTGGTGGCCACCCTCCACCGCGGCCTTCCGCAGCTGCTTGATTTTTGCTAGAAGTTGCTGTGCTGCGGCTTTTGAATTTCTGCTGATGATAAGAAGGATCCTCCAGGACCTGAAGGCAGAAACGGAGCGCCGCATCTGGCTCTGCCCTTCATGCCATGCGCCATGCCTTGATCAAGGCACCGTAGGTGGCCGTGTCTGGTGCGATGCCTGCAAGAGCTTCCCGGCTCTCCCCATCATGACCCACCGCATGGTTCCGCTCTGAGATGCAACTCAGAAGTCCCGCCTGCTTTCAAGAAGTCTGCGTGGAGATCGCAGGCTTTGTCCCAAAGCTTGGCTTGGCTGTATACTTTCAGCAGTGAGCTGTACAGCGGCAGGCAGGGCCCATACCTCCGCAGCGCAAAAGGCTGGCATGGCTGGTAACAGCTGTGACCACGCTGCAGAGCTGCACCTCCCAACATCTCCCAAGCCCTGACTCCGAGCACGCCTTGCCACGCCGAAGGAGGCAAACTGCTCTGCAAGACGGACGGCCTCGCTTCGTACGCAGGGGCAGGGCGCTTGGGGCTCCGGGGGCTCCGGGGGCTCCGGGGGCTCGGGTACCGGCCGCTTATGAGAGTCAGAAGAGATCAGGACCGGCTCAGGGCTGCACCAGCTTTGAAAGACCCTTTGTCATGCCCGAAAGCAGACGGCACACGACCAACTCAAGGGAACTGAAGCTGTATAAATCGGTTTAGTAGGTGTCCCAGTTTTTATCCGTGTCAATAAGAAGTCTCAAGGACACTCCGAGCTTGCAGGAGCCCACATGGACCACCGAGCGCCTGGGAAGTGGCACAGAGTGCCAGGAGGCCACACAGGAAGGCCTGCGAACAGACGGACCCTTGACTTCATATTTGGCTTCACACGTGCTCGGCCTGGTTGAGATGCCAAGGTGCTAGGGCTAGGGCATGATCACATGCGGACATTTTGTGGTATATCATTGGTTTCATTCGGCTCTTCCTTGCAAATACGAAACACTGTGGCGGATCACAGCGCAGCCTCCGAGGGGCAGAGGTTCGCCAGGAGTGCCTCGGAGGCCTGAACAACAAGATTGGGCTTTGGCCTCACGGGCACTGGCAGCCGAACCCAGCTCGATAACAATGCGAAACCTCGCGATGCCCCGCTGCATCACCACAGCTGGCGAAGCCGCGCAGCAGGGCCTCTGGCATCAGGATGCCAACAAGACTTGCTGTGTCGCGGCTTGTGGAGAGCTCCGTGCAGGTTACTCCGCTGCAGAGCACTGCGGCGCTTCACTTACGAAACTTGCCAAATGATGTTCAAGGCATGGTGGCATCCAACTCTCGCAGCATTTTTCCCCCAGGCCACACCATAATCGGATCCTTGGCCAACCACATCCAGGAAAGCTCGTTGACGAAGGGCGCCGCACGCCGCGCTTGTGACATGCGAGTGGCCAAAGCATAGATGAGTTGCTGTCACAACATAGGCCCTGAAAAGGCTAGAGAAAGGAGCTGTGCTATTTCTCTAGAATCCCAGGCCGGAATAGGCATTCGTTTTGACTTGTGATACAGCTTTCCAGGGCCGGTTAGCTTTATGTCGACGGCTCGAACACGATGGCCCTCCTCATCGTGACAGCCTCTCCTCTTCACCTCTTTCAGTGAAGCGATCGGGAAATTGGGCGTGTTCTACGAGACGGACATCCGTACCCGGCACCAGGCACCGAATTTGGAACTGCCCGTGGTCACACCACGGATGTAGGTCCTCTTGGATCCCAAAGTACTTCACCACCCCAGGGCCCGTACCCTGTTTTCCACAGCCTTATACTAGAATTCACAAAAACAAATCTTAGCTTACGGACTGGACGGTCAACACCCGGATCTGATCTTCTAATTGTGAAGCAACATAACATACTCCCGAGTCCCCGACAACAGGACCCCACAGTCATGTCAAACCCTGCTGTGCTCAAAGACGCTGGAACTGCTTGTTGCGGAAGGCATCCACGGCTGTAGAACGCCCCGTGCCTCGAGGAAAGAAGGAGGTGCCCGACCGCACAGGGGCACAGACACGAGGCTTCTTCAGGCGTAGCCATGATGGATCACAATATTCGTTGCAGATGTGGTAAGCAAAAAAGTTCTGCATCATTCGCAAGCCACCATCTGTGGCCCCAAATTCCTTCTTCACAGAGAGCACCGCAGGGTCGGTCAGGATGTAATGCGTGTCGTAGCCACCCCCCTGCAGGTCGCAAAGGAGACGCTGCCCCTCAGAGAAATGGAAGGAGAAGTGTGACAAAGCCTGCATCATGTTGTAGCCTTCGTTCACCCAACCGCTGTTGGAGTTGAACTTTGCATATGTGCCGTCGATCAGAGGCTCCACGAGAACCTTGCGTTCTCCACAGCTCCAAACCTCGGGCTGATTCAAGTACACTCTGCGTCGAGCTGGCTGGCCGCGCTGGCGGCAGTGTTCCTCGTTGTACTTGTTAAAGGCCTCGATGATCCGACCGGCTTCCGCAACGGCCTGAAGATCTTCTTCGATGAGGGACTCCGTCTTGGCGTCCTTGAAAACCTTGTAGACACCCTTCAAGTTCTTGCGTGGCCCCTTGGTGAAGGTCACGAGGAAGACGTCCCGGAAGGTGCCGCTCTCGAGGTACGTCCCCGAAGACACCGCAGGAATGCATCGCATGGCCCAGCCCCGATCGTTGGTTTCGAAAACCTGCTGCAACCTCTCTTTCAGCTCGGCTTTGGTACCACCGACCTTGCGGCGCATCTTCCGGAGCTCATCGCGCATCTCAAGCGCTGTCATGTCGTCAACACGCTTGCGCTTGACAGGGTCGTGGCGGGCTGCCGCCAGCTTTCCCCATCCGTAGCATTGGTCGCACTTCTCTTCGACATCAAACGGGAAACCGATGCCGCCCAAGGACAGATTCAAGGTCCGGCCTGTCTTTCCTTTTCCGTTGCAGCTTGTGCAAAGAACGGTCCAGCAAGCCCCACCACACTCCGGGCAAACCACCTTGAAATTGAAAACCTTGCCACCCAGAGGGAACGGCTGCAGAATGGCGCCGCTTCCTTGACAGTGCTGACACTTTCTGGGATCGTGCACTTCAGACATCGCGGCAGCAAGGTGGAAGAAGACCTGAACGTTCCGGAAAGGCCACGGATCACGTGCAATATGTTGCGATTGTTGTTACTGGTAGATGCTGGTAAGTCGTAGGGCATGTGAAATCTTGGCCTACATTGCCGTAGCACCATGATAAAAATGACTCCACCGCCATTTCTGCAAAGAGCCTCTGATGTATGCGGGAGCAGGCAAAGAACACGCAATGCACATGCCACTGCACGATGAGCCCAGTTGTGCGCATGTTTGCAGGGAGGCCTCGCAGCAACCGGGAGGCAGATGCACGGATTCTCGGCTTACTCGGGCGACCTCCGGGCGACAGGCGCATATTTTGCCAGGTCTTGTAGGCATGTATGTATGAAATGTAGTGGTATGCTGCAGTCTCGCATGGCAGACTTCCAAATCATCAGCTGCCTGACGCTGAGAAACAAACTTCCCGACATCTCATGAACTGAATAGCGAAGTGCCAGGGACCCGCTTTACAACAAGCAATACATTACCGAGGGATTCCGACCCGACCTCCAGCAGAGCGGCCCCGTCGCGAGCTAGTGCGGCACCCTGTGCCAGCACTGTAATCGACCGAATCGTCAGAGTGCCTCCCGACACGATTGCTATCGTTTGCTGATGCATTCTATTTCTCTTTAGCTGCCTCTCTGGGTTCCTGAGACCCTGCCTCCCGCGATGTGAATGGGAATCTCGTTAAACTAGCTTCGTGGACGAAGCAGGCACCCGACCCTGTGCCCCTCCTTGCGGCCCTTGCGGCCCTTGCCTTGAGGCAGTCTCTTCAGCATCTTCGCAGCACCCTGCACAACTCAGGCGGGACCCCGCATGCGCATGCAGGAGTGACAGGGAGCAGATTGCATGGGTCCGGTCCTCGGGGCCGCGGCTTCGGCGGAGCAGCTCGAAGAGCGAGGCCTCACAGCTGGGACTAAGCCGAGCGACGAGTGGCGCTGGTCTCATGGGGCCCCTGCCAAGTCCGACGGAGGGGGCGGAGACGCCGCCAGCAGCAGGGCGCTCGCGGCCTCCCAGCACTCCCAGCACTCCCAGCACTGACTGAGCTCCGTCGCTCCGGACATCAGAGCAGGCCTCGGCTGCCACGTTCCTGAGCGCACGGAAGCCCCAACGCATCAAAACACCGGCCAACCCGCTGGAAGAAGATTGGCTGTTCGCCTGTCCCGTCAAAACAAGGCTCGCATTCTGCTCGTCCAAGGCTATTTGTAGCTGGGGCAGAGGTTGAAGCGGGCTGTCAGACCTGCAAACATGTAGCAAAGCCTAAAACCAAAAGCTGGCCACAAGGGCCCAAGGTCGAGGTCGCCTCTGACATCTCTGACTGGCTGGCATCCGACACTTGGCTTCGCCTTTCGGCGAGCGCTTCATTTCGCCTCCGGGCAGCACAGGTCTGCCGCTCGCCGACGCACGCCCTGCAAGCGCCCTAAGCGCCCGGCTAAACGGACGGACCAGCTTCCGCTGGGCAATGCGGATGAGGAAAAAGCCGATGCAGAAGCACAGCAACAGCACGGCTTCGACATATACCTTTCACAGCTCCACCCTTCATGGGAAGAGACTCGAGCTTTCTCACCAAGAGTCCGAAAAGGCATGTCGAGTCATGTCGAGCAAGCTTCGGGACTTCGTGCGACTGGCAATGTGCCCCTTGCTTCCGAAGTTGACCTACAACCACTTCGTGGCAAGGCATCACAGCGCCTCATCCCAAACAGACAGCAGCAGCTGCTGCGTCGTGTACAGAGCCATGGAGTTTGCTACAGGACACCTTGCGGGCAGAAGCAAAGGACAAAACGGCACGAGTGCTCATCCCAAAGACTTGGTCCTCTGCACATCTTGTGCAACTGTGTTGTATTGTTTGAAATGCTTATTCCGTTTTTCGGCTCCGCGGGTCCTGTAAGCTACGATTGCAACTGTACGTGGTGCAGTGCCACCGCTCCACCCCCCCTGCTAGAAGACAAGCAATTGCACCAAGTGGACAGCCCCTACAGATCTACGGACAGAGGTATTCTGCCTTCCTTAGATTGCATTCTTCCCATGAGCGTTGCCGCGAGGCGGGCAAGATGCTGCACACAAAGGCATTGCTATGTCTTGTCATATCCAGGCTGGCCTCCGAAGAGGGAGCAGACCGCACGTGGAGGAAGCTACGTTGTTGGCAGATACCTCAGCTCTCTGCCGTTACCCTCAGGATTCTGCGGGTGCCTGTGCCACCTGAGTCCTGGACGGAAACAGGGCATCGATCCAACGGATTGGAGCTTGAACCCTGTCTGCGGCAGAAAGCCTTGAACCGTCTTACGATGTCTTCGCCACTTCCGAAGCATGACGGCCTCAAGACAAGTTAAAAAGTAGGTGCCAGCTATTCTGTGCAAGCCTGATCTTCTCCATCGTGCACGGACGCAGAGCCTCATGGTTCAGCACTCACAGAAGCTGAAACGGTCTCCTCACAGCTTGCAACGCTTGCTTCAGGCCTCAAGATGCCGAACTAGCCTTGCCGCGTGACCTGCCTGCGGCTTTGAGCACAGAGAGCTTCGATCGAAGCAGCAAGTGTAATAAGACACGAGGAAGCGAAACTAGGTACGGGACAACTGCTTGATCAAGTGTAAGACTGGCGCCAGCACAAAGGGCTGGTGCCAATTGCGACTACAAGTGTGAAAACGCCGGCAATACTGCGTCTCGCCACGCCTGCGGATGCTCTCAACCTGCTGAAAGCTGAAAGGGCTTGCCGCCAGCTCGCTTGGCCTTCCTTCCAGGTCAGGACTTAGAAGATTTAGAAACCAATGTCAAGCTTCCATGATCCGTTTCTGGTCAGCTTCAGACTCCCTCTCGAGAGACTTCGACGAATCCTGTGCGGGTCAACCAGCGAACCGGCCACTCGCTTCTTTGGCGGGGTGGCCGCTGGCGGCCTGTCACTTCGATCGCGTTATCGCTGCCAAACTAGTCTCGCGAAGTCTTGCTACTCTTTCCGTTGCGGGTGCTGTTACGGCTTAGTACTCGTACCCTTTCCCGCACAACACATATCAATACTGCTGTTGCAACGTCTGCAAGTTTCGTTGTGTAGTTGCTCTGTGCTGCTTTGTTACATTTGACTGCGGCTACTGCCGGCAAGAAGGGGCTGCAGGTCTTGCACTCTCAACAGCCAGGACCAAGCTGCCTGGACAGCGTCATTGACCCGGTTGGTGGCGGCTCAGTCGCAGCTCTTGTGAGAAGTGGGTCCTGCAAGGCCGAGACAAAATTTATGGCGGGGCTCACTACGCCTGACTGCTAAGGCTTTAGACCTCCTTTCGACCCTGCGGCGGCACTTGAAGGCATTAGAGTCCCCCTCCCCTCAGCCTGGGACAGACTTGGCATTGGGCCAGGGAGGCGGGCCGATGATGTCGGCGTCTGAAAGAGCAGCAAGCACAGGTTTCTCGGAAACACCGGCCCGGAGGAGCCTCAGGGCCCAATCTTGGGCCCAGTGCATGTTGCAGCAGTGCGTAAGATTGCTCAATACGCGAAGAGAATAAGCCAACGGCACTAGGCGGGTAGTGGACCTTATAAAGGATCACGAAATTTTAGGGGTCGTGCTTTCGCGCCCCTCAATCACTGCTGTTGCCTGGCAGTCAAACTGCACCGAGACCAAAGTCCGTCAAGCTTCTTATATTGCAAAGGGCAGAACTGAAACCCAAAAAATACAACCCACTGCAAAGCTACGCTGCTGCTGTGTCAATGCAAAGGCTTCCCCCGACCTTTGCCGCTTCCGCAGACGACTCTGCAGCAAGGGCGTCAAGAACGAACCCGCGGAGGCCCTGAGGATGTCTTTTGCTTTGGAGAACGCATTGAGTTCTGCGAACTTTTGAAGACGCCCCCCCCACTCTCTCCGAATGCCCGCCAGTCCTTCAAAAAGCCTTGGGCTTCTGTCGACGAGGGCATGGACGCAATCGCCTGCAAAGTTCCAGGATGAGTCGGGATCAGGAAATGCTAGGACGGAGGCAAAACAACGAAGGAAAGCTCCCGAAGTCCACGAGGGTAAAGCTGTCAGAACGCCCGCTCTGCCTCCAGGTCCAGGTGTGCCGCGAGCACGGCACTCTCGAGGCGAAAGCGCAGCTCCAACCGTTTCCTCAAAAAACATCGACTCGTGACAAAATTGCACGATAAATTTCGAAGACTAGTCGCTCAAGCCTGTGTAGCCTGGACAGGTGCTTGCAATGGCTTGCAAGGCTTTTATTCACGTGGTTCTTCTTTGCTAGTGGGTCTTTCTGCCTCATGCAATTCGACTCGACTGAAAGGGAATTCACGTCAATCAAAACTGTGGGCCCTGCCCGGCAGCACAGCTGCTGGCGGCTGTGGCGCAGCCTTCCTCTCACAAAATGTGCTCTCAACCGTCAACCACGGGGTGCTTCTACCCCTCTACAACATCCTGTGGACCGGACGGCCATGTCTGCTCACTAGACCGAGTATGCGTACGATTTTGCTGCACTGGCTGCGCTGCCAATTATAGCGCTTTTGCAGCATGACGCTGACAGCACTTTTTTTGCCAAGAGGTCCTGACCATGCAAAGCCGACGAAAGCAGCTGCAGAAAGGTCCTCCAGGCAAATTCTGCCATTCCTGCATATCGGGTCATGAGATGAAGGCCAGGTGTGTATTTTGGTGTCTTGTTGTGTGGGTCTGGCATGGGCATGCTGAGAGCTGAGGTTCGACTTCACCTCAGTCGGCGAAGCCCACTGACGCGTGCGCATTCAGAACCCCATTCAGACTTCCACCATGACAGTCCGCTCGCAAGCGCTGAAGATGATGCCTGAACCCGAAATCCAGACAGCGCCTGCGTCTTGCCGAAGCTTCTGAAGAGCCTTCTGCAGGATGACAAGGAAATTCCGAAGCATTTGCAACAGTCTGCAACTCAGACTAGCAACAGCTGCCGGGATGGAGATTCTGAGATTGCACTTGAAAGCACAAGAAGGCCAAACCTTGCACAAACTACATGGTACTCCACCGAATTATGAGATGCTTGGCTATGCCTTCGCTTGGTGCCTCCATGCCGAGATTGGCCTTGTAGAGGCCGGTGAAATCAGTGCCGGCGAGTGAGATCTCGCGTGCAACACCGCATGGTGTCAGAAGGCAAACGGCAGAAGGAGTTTGAAGTTCAAGTTTGGTCGTGTGTCAAGTATCCACGTCCCGGCGCCTGAAAAGGTTCCTCGCGTCTAACACATCTTTCAGTGCTTTGGAGTTCATCCCTGATGCAGCAGGAATGCTCACCAGTAGGCTAGACTCCTTCACATGAAAACACACCACCCTCTTAAGCTGTGTACCACTGGACACGGCTGGCTACGCTTGCACCGCAGGGTCGACCCTAGATACAGCCTCCCTTGCTGCGGGCCCACGGCCTCCGAACTCGCTCGGCGGCGAAGGAGCGCCAGGAGGGGCTCGCCGCCCCTGCTTCGAAGGATTATTCTGATTGCAGACTTCTTGAAGCTGGGGTGGCCAGCCTCTTTGCGCGGTGCTGAAAGGACGTTTGAGCAGATAGCACAACGTGCCACGGTTTCTCTTTGTGATGATTTGCCACAGGGTTCGGCATATAGGTGGAGTTTGGTTCAACCAAGCTTGGCCAAAAGATTCATAGTCTCCAGCTAGCTGTATTGCTCATAGGGTTTGGCCTGAGAAGCCTGACGAAGAGCACACGAAGTGAGAACTGGCCGTCCTAGCTAGTCCTTCGGGTCCCTCCAGCCTCGAATCTGGAATGTGAACGACGGAGCCAACCTCGCGACCGAGCTGAAGCACAGGCTCTGACAGTTTCGCAAGGCGCCATCACGCGGCCCTCTTCCCTGCCTCCGAGAACAGGCTTGTCAGCGCCATCTCCAAGTCGGCTGCGGCCTCGGGGTGGGGTCTTCTTACACCTGCAGCCTTCGGAACTCGCAGAGTTGGTCCTCTAGAGCTGAGCATCCACGCGCCATCGAGCCCAGGTACCGCATCGACTTGGGACGGAATCGCGCAGGACAGGCTCATTTCAGAAGTCGCAAGCAGAGAGCTGCATCGCACGGTGATGCTCGTCTCTCGACATCGACCCTTGCTTTCGATCCGAACGTTTGCATTGACAACATCGCAACATCAACCGAATAATAGCGGCTGCAATGTTCGCAGTAACTGTGTGCATGGTCTTCCGATCAAAACAATGATTAGTCCATCCACATCTCTCTGAACATGCTGTCAAGCACCACGCTGATGACTGACTGGAGTCCGAGCTCAGATGCAGGACACGGCAGAGAGATAGGGGCTGCGATGCTGAACATGACACATAAAATTCCAGCCACTGCAGCAACTCGTATAAGTCCATGGGGCAGTGCACCACTTGGTTTGTTTTGCCGTTGGTCGGCGGGTCTGAGCTGATGGTAGCAGCTGCAGCAGGAAGCCACATGCGGTCGTCAAAGGTTACTTATGGCAACTATACTGACAGTTCATTCATTTCCTGTATTAACTGGACTTCCGGCGTCCTCGGAGAAGACAGACACACACAGGCAGGCTTAGCCAACACCGCAGGTGAAAGGGCGTGTCTATGATCATCTTTCGTGCGACATGTGCCAACGCCTCTCCACTCCTCCTGGGAATTCCTGTCGCTAGCCGTGCCGTGTCGAAGTGAAAAGCCATCCGCAAGAGAAGCACAGGGAAACACCAAAGTGATGAATGCCAAACGAGAAGGCGGCTTGCAAGCTACATTTCCGTGTCTACGGAGTCTACAACCTATAGGATCCGGAAAAGACTCATGATGGTAGATCCCATGGCCAAATTGTGCAAAGATGTGCCCAAACCGCAAGGGACAAACAGGATGGCGAGCAGGACGTCGAAGTGCAACAATGCGAACACCTTGCCCAATTAGCCCATCTTACTGCTCAGCTTCATGCAGCGAACACGGCAATCGCTTCTCAACATGTTGGTTGCTCCCGTGCTTCACCTTGCACTCGTAAATCGTCCAGAAAAGAATATTATAACCGGAGAAAAACACATCCGGCACCGTGGCCTGGGATCTCCAACCGGCTCAGTTCGGCACTACATTCCTGCCTCGGATCATGAGTTCGTTGAAGATTCTGAGCCGAAAGCAAGTACCCAGCTTCGTAGCGCGTGCTGAGTCCGTGTAAGGAGCTGCAGTCGAACACGGCTTTTGGGTTCGGACCGCTGCTTTACACAGCTCAATGCCTATGTGTACAGCGCGGCTACTGCTGAGCTCCGCGCCGCACGAAAAGTCAGACTTGGACATTCGGCGATTATCGCCGATTATAGCCGGGGTTCCTACTTCACGGCATCGCATCACCATGAGGTCATAGTCCTTTGCATCCTGTGTACCACGACTTTTCGCCGTTCCAGAACCCTGGTCTCTGTCAAAACGACCTGCGTGTATTTGCGAGGCAGTACCCATCCACAACAAAGGGGAAGCGTAGAGGCCTTGCTTTCCAAGCCCAAGGCGTCTGAACAAACGGAAGGGCCCTGGGCCCAATGTGCTAATCTGCTTGCATCAACAGCTAAATAGCAAAAACACGGATCATGCCACGAATGAGCCACGGTCATCTATTCAAGTCAATACTATGCGGCTCTTCATGCTTTTGCAACTTTTGCAGCTAACACATTTGCTTGTCGCATGGATGTGTTTCTGCTGCGGTAGATTCTTTCGTGCTGAAACGACCGGTGTTTGACAATTTGAGTACCATGGCCACTTAACACCGCTGTTGCCAGCTAGTTTTTCTATCTGATGTTCGCTGAATTTTGTTGAGTCTTGAATGCATGCATCGACACGTCATTGCCCCTGCACCCTCTGTGCCCAGTTCACATAGGGTTTGGGCATGGATTCATTGGCACTCCAGTTGCATCGCAAACGTTAATGCTTTGTGGGGTGAACTTTAGCTGCTATTGCTGCCGCCGTTTTGATGTTACTGATTTGGCTATTCCGGCTGCTGGACTACCTATGACTACCTTTAAGTGGATTCTGATACACTCGGTACTCCATGCTACTTTATCTGGACAGGCCAGTGCTGCGGCGTCACTGCAGAAGAGCTGCGTTCCAAATTTGGGGTGGAGGCTCATGCATTGCTAACCGATCACACAAAGACTCTCAATTTAAGCGTGAGGACTCTCGCCCTTGAGCGGGTGGGACGAGGAGAGCTGCAAGACGAAAACAGCAGAAGGAAAGCAATGCCCAGCATCAAAAAGACATCTGCCAAGTGAAGAAAAGGGCCTCCTTATCAACGACTCTTTCGCGACCAGCAGACATGATAGTCGGTGTAGTGTTGTCTGTGATGCCGCCCATGCTCCACTGATACGACTGCTGGGGCTGCTGTTGCTACTGGTTTCGCAGTCTACGAGGTCTGTCGCCATTGTGCTCCAGGTTTATCATCAAAATTAACTCATCAAAGTCGAACAAAAGTTGCAGAAGTTGCAACTCGATGCTGCTTTCAGTATGATCAAGATCATCAGCATACCTAGGCAATGTTTCCTGCAGCGCCAGTAGTTGCCATGTTAAACGACAACGCTACTGGTGCAATCTGCAGAAAACATCTGTCCACTGCCCGTGGCTCATTCAGCATTTGAGGGATACGGACGTCTCTCCGTCACCTGACTGACTTCCAAGAGCGAGCTGGAACGTATAACTAAGGCTGCTGTTCCCAAGAATCCCGCGAGCCGCAGGAAACCTGGACATTCCGTCTTCGAGTGCCCCTAACCACTTGCGCTTTGTGATGGCAGACCGCTTCTCATGTTCCACGGCTTTTGGGAAATGTCAGGGACGTCTTCATGCCGCCGCTTTGCCTCGCTTCTGCGAGCATTTGGCAACATGAGAAAGACCGAGAGAGGCGCGAAAAACTTGCCAGGCGACTTGTCGCTCAAATGCTGTCGTCTCCAGTCATGATGCGCTTAGGGCTTGGGGGCCCGGGTCTGGGATAAGAGCTCCATTTCTGACTGACTGACAATCCAGCTTCAGCGAAACTTCACTACATCGTCCTCATGCACGGGTCGCGATCCCTACTTCGAATCTGGAAGTTGATCCGAGCTCCCAGTCCTTGGTTCAGCTTGAATCTCAGCATGCAACCACCCCTCCACGAATCTGAATCTACGACTACAAACCAGGATCAGCGGCACCAGCAACATCAACAACAGCAGAAACAACACTTCACAGAGTCGTATCATATCTTTCGCTTTTGCTGCTGGGAAGACGATGCATTTAAATTTCAGTACTACCAGTAGCTAGTGTTTGGCTGTCTTCGGCTGCTGCTACTATGACTATAGGATTCTGATACGGAATGCTGACAAGAATTCGTTCTTCATGTGACAATGACGACCGTCAGCGCAATGATGCTTGAACACAGTGTCACCAATAACTGTGGCGATATATTGATTATACTGACCGTGCTATCAGTGTGCATGATGCAAGCACTACCAGTACTACTAAGCATAGCCAAGACCCGCAATCAAATTGATAAGCACCGGGCCATGCTCGTGAATCACAACAGCTATGGTTTTGACCAATCTGAGAATATGTGTGCCACTTTTGAGTCGAGCCTCTCTCTGAGTTCACGCAAAGTTGTGGAGTTCCACACTCCGGAAAGCAGATCGAGGACCTCCGGAAGCAGCTAATCCTTTTTTATCTCTGTCTGATACACAGCGCATTTCCCATTTTTCACAAGACGAGCGACCATGCGGTGGGAGTCAAACTTGTTTGCTTCGGCAGCCAAGTCATAGGCCGTTCTTCCACGAGACGTTGTCACTTCGCGGTCGACACCAAACCGCAGGAGCTCGCGGACCATCAAGTGATGACCTGGGTCACGGAGGTTTGAGAGTAGCAGACTTGCAAAGGGTGAGTCTGATTCAGCCAAGGGTCCCAGCTTTGCTGCATGATGGATGGGGTAGATGGTCTCCGTGCGGAAGAAGGATGAATGCGTAGACTTTGGCTGATTGGCGTCTCGGAAGCCATGCTTGGTCAAGTACTCCCGAACCATCTGTTTGGATGGAACACGCTCGACAAAGCTTGCAGTCGAAACAACCAGCAGCATGCGAGGAAGCAGTCAAACTTGGAAGGCAGGCTGGGCCGAAAGCTCTACTCTTGCATCCAGGGATTCTGTTGGTTTGATGCTCTGCTCGTCGCGATTCAAAAGCTACCCCCCCACCACCCAGAACTTCAGGAAGGTAACATGAGTGCGGGGCAAAGGCAAGAAGGTAGAGAGAAAACGCGAGATGTGGTGAGCGAAGAGCATACCACAACGAGCTCTCAGACTCTCAAAGCGGCGGTTCGAGGGGCCTCCCGCCGGTGCTCTCGAAGTCGGCACCGTCGGATCGCACTTGCGCTGCTAATGATAGGCTGGACATCTTCCTCCAAGTTCTCGGCTTCCTTCTCGTCCTCCTCTAGGAAATCCATCATCGGCTCCTCCTCGGGACACTCCGTCGACGTGGGCGTCGCGAGGTTGAAGATATCCAGCTTATCCAATTTGCCAAGCGCAGCAGTCAGCTCTTCCTCATCAAATGTGATGCCTTAGCTGAGGCCTAAACCCAAAGGCTTAACCGAAAGGGCCTGAAGGGCCTCTGGGTCCGTCATGCCACGGGACCATCCCCGTCCAAGCTGATCTCGGGCCGCACATTTCGAACCTTCGCGAAATCCGAAAAGGGCATGGCTACGCTTCTACACAGCCAGTCACACTATTGATCAGATCACTGAAAGCCAGTGCTGCGGGCAGGCACGAATGATCCTAGGTCCTGGGAGGGCGCACAAGGCAACAGCTTCTGCAGAACACTGACTGTGTGGGGTCGGAGCAGCAGGTCTCGCGTGAAAGATTGTTTCTCCCTCCCTTACCGATGCACACTTCGTCGCATGTGTCGGCAAAGTAGGAGCAGCATGAGCGCCTCGAAAAGGTCATTCTCTGCTTAAAACCACTCACACTCACCTCAAAGAAACTGCCTCATGCCACACACTGTGCATGCCGGGCGCCGCAAAGGAGGAGCCCGCAAGGACCGTTGGCCAGTGCGGCGACGAGTTCCCGGATACATTTGGCCCCGGCTGGTGCTCCACCAGCTCGCCATCGCCATCCTGGCAACACTGGCAACAGTTGCTCCGGCTCCGGATTCCCTGGGCAAAGCCGCTTCTGCCTTAGGCTCTTCGCTCTCCAGCGGAGCACCACGCAGGTAAAGAAAGTCAGCTGGAAGGAACCTTGGATTTGCAGGCAATTGCCGGGATTTTGCAGGTGCTGCCCCGAGGCGTGGAAGCAGCTTGAGTTGCAAGCTCGATCTGTGCTGAAGACAGGAGACAGGACTGAGAGCCCGCTTTACCCCCCCCCCCCCCGATGTAAAACACTGACAGCCTCTGAAATGCAAGGCCAGGTGGCTTAAGCGCATCGAGCGGACCCTGCCTTATAGCAACGAAACACGTTCACACGTGTTGGTCCTGCTTCCCTAAACGCGATCGCACGACGAACGAGCATTCTTTGATGCGGTGATATGCCACACGTTTCAGAATCCAACTCCCACGGTCCCACAGTTTTGCAGCACGAGAACCACATGCAACAAACGCTTGCCGCCTGTAGTAGTGGGTGCTTAGAGCGACAACGGGCAGAACGGGAACAGAGTGCAGAACGTTTTGACTCAGAGACCGCGGATGTCCCGCTGCGCCCTAGCTGATGCCGCGGCCAAAAGCCACGAAATGCGTGGCTGGCTGCCTGCAGTCAGCGACCTCACCGTCTCTGCGTATGTAATCGCGTTTGCTAGACACCCGCTTCTTTCAAGACGGCTGAGAAAATCAAGAGCGGCTTCCCATTGGTCCCCACAGGCCGTGATCGCTGCATTCCAGGTGATCAGGTTGCACTGGAAGCCGTGGGCTTCGATCTTCTGTAGCAGCACCGCCGCGAGCGCGGCATCGCCGGGGCCCTTTCGGGGCACCGCTGCGAGGGCCGCCAGGGCCGCGTTGTACGTGATCAGGTCTGGCTGCATGCTGCGGCTGCACTGGATGTGTTCCAGCAGCCAGACGGCAAGCTGCCATTCTTGAGCCTTCTCACAAGTGCTGATGGCCGTATTGCAGATTACGACGTTTAGCTGTACGGCTACCCCCCGCAGCTGTGTCAGCAAGTCCATTGCTGGCTGCCACCGACCCCCTCCCTCACATGAGCTGATGGTGGCACCGTAGCTCAACATGCTTGCTCCCAGGGTATCCAGCAGGCAGAAAGCCTTCTGCCACTCTTCGCCGCGAGAATTTGCATCGATGCCCGCCATGCGCATGACTTCATCGTCGACTGCAGCTTGGCCTACAGCCAGCTGGACCAATGCCTGCTCCCACTGCGAGCCACCGCTGCAAGCGCCCACTGCCAAGGTGTAGCTCACAGCATTCGCACGCAGCCCTTCCTGCCAAACAGCTTGCAAAAGCCTCAAAGCAAGCTGCCACTGCCTGCCTCGGACGCAGGCTGCCACGGTTGCATTGCAAGTGATCACGTCCTTCTGTAGCCGCCGAGCATTCAATTCCACAAGCAGGTCCAAGCTGCGCTGCCACTCCGCCGCTTTCGCACAGGCACTTATGGCCGCATTGAAGACGATGCGGTTAGCCTTTTCGATTAATTGCAAGGCTCTCTGCCAGTGTCCCCCATGCTCCATCGACGTGACGACTGCCCCTTGGCACACCAGGTTTCCTCGAACTGAGGCAGCACGCATCTTATGCAAAAGACTGGCCGAGTGCACCCAGGTCTCTCCCCTCAGACATGCCAAACAGTTGGTGTACGTAAATACATCGGCATAGTCTTCGGGAAGGGGCGAGACTCTCTTTCTGAGAAGACTCAGCGCAAGCTCCCAAGCATCACCCCCCTTGGTGCTGCAAGCACGGATCACGGTGTTCAGAGTCTGGGGCTCTGCAGCCATGGCCCCCTGAAGAAGGCCTTCCAGCGTGTTGACAGCCTGCTGCCACTTCATGCCCAAGCTTTGCACTTGAAGGGCCGTGTTGCAAGAACTTATACTCTGCTGCAGGCTCTTGTGAGCCAGACCCGAAAGGGCCAGTGCTGCAAAATGCCATTGCTGCGCTCGTCCACAACTGTTGCCAGCAGTGTTGCAAGTGATCACACTCCACCCAATGCTCTTCTGAAGCAGCTGCACCGCCAAGGACAGGGCCTGCCGCCAGAGCGCGTCGGAAGCGAAGGCTTTCACCACTGAGTTGTAATTGATCACCCGCACGCGGAGCTTCGCAGCCTGGATCTCGGACACTTGCCCAAGAGCCTCCGGCCATGTCACCTTTGGCATCTGGATCATGGTCTGGGCCGTATCCGTCTTCTGCGATCTGACCAACAGCGAGGGTGGCCTCCCGACCTGTAAAGCTTGCAGGACCCGTCATGGGGTCAACTTTCACGCTGTTTCACGTCTTCCCTGACCCGATGACCCGATCGCTCCCGCAGCCGCTCTGAGCCGAAAAATTCCGGACGATTCAAGGGTCCAAAAACCGACGAGTGCCCCTCTGTGCCCGTTTGCTGCAGAGGAGCCCCATCTGCTCCCCCAGCTTCCACGTAACTTCCGCCAGCATGTGCATGCCAGCCTCAGCAAATATCAGCAAGGCAGAGCTCGTGTCGCGAGTTGAGATGCACAGGAGACATTTCAAGAAATTTCTTCGGACCCTGACGAGCTTGGCCCTGCCATTGGAGTCGCCGTTGGTGACTGCCAAGACCACACGAAAAAGCAGTCAGATGAAGATACTCAGACTACCCGTACGCAACTTTAGATACGAACACTTGTGAACTTCTCTGCAGCCGTGTCTCTACCAAAACAGAAGCAAAACTGTGCGTTTCCCTCCAGCTCTCTCTCAAATCCCTCCGACAGTGCCACCTCGGCCTCGGGAGTGAATTATGCTTGCAATACCTCAGCTCCCACACCATGAGATGCCATGAACAGGGTAGCCGCTACGGGTAGCCGGTCTGTGCATGCCAGGCGGCCCAGCTCTGTGGCATACTTGTACAGTCGCCGAGTAATGCGATTCGCTACCTGTTCGACGTTCTCTCATGTGAAACCCGAAACCGACCGATCCCCACAGAGCACAAGGACGAAAGCGCCGGGTGGCCATCGAAGGCTCTGTGCGCAATCTGAAACCCTTCTGGGTACGACTTGCGCCTTGAGCATGAATGCGTCATTGCTCGGCAAGTCCACAGCGGGTAGCAGCGACACGTCGCGCTGCACAGAGACAAGGATCCAAATGTCCTCCGGAAGGATGCCAGGACTCTGTGATGTGGCTGCCCTAAAGCGGCCTGCCTCACCGGTGGCACTATCAGTCGCAAGGACGAGGCCACGCATTGAGAGGAGGTTGAGAAAGAACTCACCTGTCGCCAACGACAACAACGTAACGGTTGCAGCATGGATGCTGGAGATCCACCGGCATATCATTGAATGCATTCCAATTTTGTTCCAGTAAGCTTGTAAGAGTGCAAGATGCAAGACGCCCATGTCGGCACAGGCACGGAGCGGCAGAAGCTCACGTCTGGGATATCGAATTCTTAATTTCAATATGTCGCGTGCACAGGCAGGCAAGGACGGTGGCATGTGTGAGATTTGTCGAAAACTGCAAACGAGTGACGTCTTGTGCCCTCCCGAAACCTCGAGCTAGGGCAACAAGTACCCTTGTTGAAGGCAGCAACATGGACACGACTAGTCACCTGCTTTCGCCCTCCTGCTGCTGGGCTGCTATGACCATTCAAGATGAGAAGGGTTCGGAGATGATTATCTTCGGGTCTGGGGCTTGTCTTTGAGGCATTTACGGAGATCAGGTGTCGCTGATCGACGAACTTTGGTCTCACAAGCACCAAAAATCGAGGCCGCGCTAAGCAACCGGACCAGAAACTCGCGACTCTTTAGCGGGCACAGCAAGCTTCGCAACGGGAATAGTTCTTAAGTGATTAGGTGGGAGTGTAACTCTAGTCACGAACACTTGCAGTTGCAACCCTGTCAAGGTACTTGCACCGCTGCTTTGTACAACCTACAATTATAAATTTCGGAAGCAGATGATCCCAGTTAACTTTCTCAGTCTCCAATCCCGCTATCAGAAAAATGAGCACTCCTACACAAACAACAACTCATCAAAGCGGTTCCCAGGCATGATGAGCTTCTTCAATCCGCGACACCCTCTGCTTAGATTTTTTGGCTTGGCGTCAAACAAAATCAGCAGTCAAGAATCACGATTTGTCCTACCTGAGCACACGAGGACTTATGATCAATGGAACAACCTCGTGTTGATGTGGAACAATCCCGACATTGGACTCTTTTGTGATGGCGAGCAGCTGTTCAGGAGAGCCTCAACGTAATTCAATATGCTGCCGGGCTGACCGAGGGACTACTGGATGCTTCACAAACAAAGAGGATTGGGACTTCAAAGCTTATCATTGCGCAAAGTTGACGGCGGGACGTTGAAAGGTTGTGCCGGCGAGATCTTGTATGGCCTTGTGACTCGTGTTCTGCGTTGCGGCTCACTCGCTCATTGCAGTCATCGCTTGTGTCCGGCCGAGATCTTTCATTCCGAGACGCCCTAGCTACTAGTTGAACCAGGCTGGGCCAATGTCCTGTAAAGACCAAGCTGTGTGGAAGCACTCGCCTCCTGAGGGTCGACTTGCATGCACTGTCCCGCGCCTGATTTGCGTCGGTTGACGAGGATGGAGGTGAAGGGCCTCGGCTTGCAAGTCCGTGGACCACCACGAGCCACCGACATGAGGCTCCCCCTTCTTGGAGTGCTTGTCAAGTTGGAAGAACAAAATGAATTTTTGTTGTAGCGGCGGCGAAGAAAATCTCAAGAATCTCGCAGGGAGGTCTGCATATTTCTCCCCGACTGACTCTGTTCTGACATCGCTTTTCTTTGGCCAAGAAGCGCCCCGGTCTCGCAAGCCAGGCGCAGCGCCGCCCCAGCATCGTTCGGACAGCCAGAGTTGAGGAAACGGCAATTCTCACCTCACGTTCTGAAACAGACTGGCTTCAGACTGCGTCTAACTTGAGGTTGGGCAAGACACACAGTGGCAATGCAAACAAAGCAACAAAAAAGCTATGAGTGCTCTGCTCTCATGCAAGCACCAGTTGAAATACGGACCGCACGGTGTGCGAAAACTCAAACAAAGCAGCGCGATCGCAAGTCAGCTCGGTACACGCAAAAAAAGATGCCATGCCGTGTCACCGACCGACTCCTCTGGTGAATAGCCGGTGAGTCGGTGAAACTCCTCGGAGACCGCCTCAGATGCTAGCCAAAGGGAGAGAACAAGCTCCGAAGCGTGACAAGCCATCTCTCCTCTCCGTCCCATAGCATGTCGACCTTGGAAGCCCAAGCCCCCTCAGACGAGGCTCGATGAGCTCGAAGTCCAGACCAGTAGGGTCCGCGATTGCGACCTCGGTCCGGATCCTTCTTGGTCGTGTGCTTTGCTTCGCTCAGCCACTGCATCCTTTCGACATTGACATGGCTCCGGGACTGCTCTGGCGTAGTTGGTCCACCTCCTACAACAATCAAGACTCTCCGTGCCAGGTCGCACTGAAGTCGCACTCGGCCACCGCTGCACAGATCGCTTTGGATATCAGGTCGTCCTTCTCGTCCTCCTGTTGCAGCAGCAAGGTCAAAGCTGCAATGCTCTATGCACACGTGCTGTAGGGCAACATGTGGAAAACTCATAAACTCATGAAGTTTACATGCCAAATGACATGAGGAGTGCACAAGGCCAAGCACTGTTGGTGTTTCAGTTTTCAACAGCAGTGCAAAGTTAGCTTCGATGCAATGTGTATGGGGGATAAACGGATAATCTGAGTGGACCCTTGATAACCCGCAACCCTGTTATGCTTTAGAAGCAAGATTGCAGTCGAAGGTCTAGAAATGCGAAAAACGTTGAAGATCTCGGGCTTCAGCAGTAGAAATGCACATCGGGCAGGGGCATTACTGCTACGAGTCCTACGTACGAATCACTGACCTCCATGCAATGTAGGAATCACCAATCATGCCGTGCTCGGCAACGGAATCAGCCTTCCCCCTCTTCCCCGGCCTCCCCGCTAAAAGGACATGATGTGGCAAGTTACAAACCCGTGCACTTTGGTTGCCCGAGCCACATCCCATTCGCGGCCTTGCGATTTCAGCAATGCTTGATCTAGCACGACAACCTCTGAAGCTTGAAAGGGTCTCCATCCCCTGCATATACGGCTCCTGCTTCTCCTCCTGCGACTCCTCATTGATGGTCTGGTCGAGGTTCGCCAAGCCCAGGCCCTCAAAGCCATCAAAGGCCATCTGCAAGGTGCAAGGCAACGGCACAATTCGGTGCAACTCAAGGCTCCGCTCACGTCCCATGACATCCCATCCCCAGCGCAGGGCCTGAGGGCGACTCGGAGTTGGGCATGACGACTGCCTCCCGAACTGGCCTTCAGACTGAGATCTACAGCCGGAGGAGCGGCCACTCCGAGGAGTCCCCGGGCCTTGTCTCGGGTCCTGGGTCTTCGGCCTCTGGCTGACGACGGGCTCCGTGCATTTCCGCACCCAGAAGTCGCCCTGCCTCGGTTCTTCCGGCTCTGATAATTGGAAGCAGCCTCTTGGATGAAAGCCTCGCCTTGTCGCAAAGTCTGTGAACTGCCGCGACATGAGCTCCTGCGAGTGCAAAGCAGCAAAGACCTGACAAAGACTCCCGGCCTTGCGCCCTGCTGACTGAAGCCCAGCAGGCGTGCCACAGCATCGCAGAGCAGAGCATTACGAATCCCAGGGGATGTCTCCAGCGCTGCAGCATCGCTGAACTCAGTGCACTGGCGGCTCAAAGAAGCGGCCGATGAGAACTCGGAGCTCGCGTCCTTGGCTGGAGCCGAGTGGACAGACAGAAAGGGAACGGAGGGAACGGAAGGATCTTGCTCTCTTTCTTGCTCCCCACCTCCTGTTCACTTTCAACATTGGTTTGGTGATGCCACTGTCGCTATTCAGAATGCAAATCAGACCAGACTACGCCCGTTAACCTAATAAAGCAGAGACCGCCATGGACTGCGCGTGGGCCGGCTTCACCCGGCCTCAGCCCTGTAAACCCTGCACGTGCAATCCACTCTAAGCGGCCCCCTCGGATGGCGCCGGGGGCTCCCGAGGACAGGAGCCTGCAGCCAGGCTGTCCTGGACAGGTCGTGGTCGTGTATTCTTGAGTCTTTCCAGATGGCACTCGCAATCAAGCGCGTGAAGCGCTTACGATGTGGTTGAAGCGCTATCTATGCCCCGAGATGGAAGAGCGGAGGGGTCGATAACTTAATCAATTCAAGTTTCGACGGCATCCAAGCAGCCTGGCTGGTTAAGTTTTCGTGACTTGGGATACCTCGAAATGATGGTCGCCACCTTACACGACATTCCACGACTGATCTGCAACATTGGGCCAGCTATCGCTGGCACGGCCTCGGATGAGAGTCAACTAATTAGTGCGGATCGTGGATGCCAGTACGGTCACACGTGGAATGCAGGGACCTGCCAGGGGCTCGGAGATCGCGGATTGCCATGAGACTTACCGGACTCCTTTCTCAGACACGTGTCCTCGGGGATGCAGTCCATCATGGCATGACGCGATTGGCTGCTCAAAGCAGATGGTGCGATGGCCGATTGCTTCCTCTGTGTAGATGCGGGATGACGTGGGTTGCGTGATGGCCTGTATAGCTTGTGATAAGTGCGACGAGATAGGCAAGGAAGTTTTAAATGCATGAGGTTCAGACTAGATTCAGATGCACTGGAAACTAGATGTCACTGAGCTTGACGACGACAAGAGTTGATCTCGCTCTGGCCGAAACTATTGCACAACATGTGTCAGGCAATGACCATGTGAACCCAAAGCTGCCAAAAACGAAGAAAATGTCACGCATGAAGAGCACACAAGCTATTCTTTACCACGTCACAAGCTGCAACAAGCTTCTTTCGCCACTCGGGATTGCAGAGGTATGTAGTGCCTGAAGCATTACTGTGCTCGCTTTACGCTGCACAGGGTGTTTTGCGAACTCTGCAATGCGACAGTTGTTGTCTTTCGTCCCTAGCAAGGATTCATGCTGTGGACTTCCTCTCAATGCGGCGAAGTTCCCTGGGTCTCCAAGCCGGACAATCGTTGCCTTGGAGAGATTCGCAAAAGAGCTACAAGCACTGTGCACTTCGTCCTTACCCCGACAGGCAGCACATGCAAAGAAACGACAACTCCCGAAGAGCTTTGGAAGGGCACTCCGCGAGTGCAGCGTTGCAAGGACCCGTGGTACTATGTCGCACTCATAATGCCAAACAGAGGCTTGACAGAAGCTGCATTGGACTCGAGGCTTGCCAGAGACGCTGCGTAGGGCAAACTTTCGCAGGCGACGACACGACTCAAGAAATGTCAACAACACCTCTGCGCTAGGACTCCCCGAAAGCCCACAAGCTGGCTCTGGACTCTGGACAAGTGCCTCTTGTGCTGTGCAATTGTCGTCGTCATCACTGCAAAACAGTGACTCGCCCCCTTTTGCATCTGGGATTCTGCACACGGTCGAGGCTGGCATTCACATCAGCCGAGGAGAAATGAAAATGGCCCAGGGCGGGAAGGGTGGGTTGCCTAAGCCATGAGATGCGTTTGCGGAAACCCGTCACTATAGTCAGTGACTCGCCCCCTTTTGCATCTGGGATTCTGCACACGGTCGAGGCTGGCATTCACATCAGCCGAGGAGAAATGAAAATGGCCCAAAACTCCCAAAACTTGTCAACCGTGTGTAGATGCACCTCCAGGCCATAGTCGAAACCATATTTTGCTCTCGATTCCCTGTTTCTTCCACTGGATGGCCTGCTGCTGAAGGTCGGCGAAGCCTGCTGCTATGGATGCCACCTTTTCCTTCTGTCCACGTGGCAGCGTGGGCAGATAAGTCGCCGAGGAGATTTCCTGAAGATAGATCTCCATCACCTTTGCCGAAGCCCAACGCCCCCTCCTTCTCACAAGCTCTGAGTCTTCTGTCTGCTGGAGCAGATAGGTCGAAATGAACCTAGGTCAATCGGCCTGGTCCCTTTTGGACAGGGGGAAAGGCCTATCCGCAGCAGCAAGGTATCAAGACGCTTCCGCAAGGTTTGAGGGGAGAAGGGCCACAGCTTCTGCTCATGAGTACAGGACCCAAAAGCCAAAGCAATGATCTGCACAAGGTCGGCGGCCTCGATCTTTGCAGACTGATGGCTTGGGCCTCTGTTCCTTGTCTTCGGCTCCTTTATGCTGACGAGGACAAAATGCTGTGTGTACATGACATCCTCGGGGAGGACTAGACTGGCCCGCGTACTCTGGATGACCTCCCCAATGCGCATGACCCCCCCGGCCCCCCCGAAGGCCAAAGCAAACACGCCAGCCTCTCTAATCCAGCCCCATGTCAAGCATGCTGCCAGCAGAGCGATGAGCACGATCGATGGGACAGCCGTGTGGTGAGTGCTCGGCTCCTCCGCCAGCCACGTAAATCCTAAGTCCCAGGCAGCCTGCATCTGCCTTCTCAAGATCGGCTTAAGGGCTGTTATGGCGTTGATCGTCTCGGCGTAGTGGTAGTAGGGCCTGCCAGAGCCATATAGATCCTTGCCGTAGCAGATCACCCAATCTGAGACAAGCTCGGGGTCAAAGGGTTTCGCGGCCAGTAGGGCTTCCAGAGAAAAGCCCCCCACTTCAGCCAGCCATGATGAAAAAGCTGCGGCTAGTTCAGCCCTGTTAGCCCCAGTACGCGGAAGGACAACCCTACCACCCTGAAGGCCAAGGGGAGACCTCTTTGCAGCTCGTGCGGCATCGGGGAAGGGAAGGTAGCGAGGAAGAGGAGGGCAGGCCAAATAAGCCCTGGCCCCTCCCCCGGAAATCCAAGCGTGGAGTCGAAATCAAGGCTTCCGGAGTCTACCCTCACCCGGTGCCAACGGCTCAAGGGGCGAGGCAAAGGGAAGCCTGCAGTGACGGCCTGACTGCGGAGCCTCGGATCAAGCCCTGCAACCCCACGGATTGAGAAAGCAACAGCAACCCTCCGCGTGCCCCTCCACGGTAGCGTGCAGTGCAGCCTGGACCCGTCAAGCCAAACGGGGCCCTTCGCAACGTCAAGGACCTCCCCATAACACATAGTGCCGCCAACCTGAAGTGGAGTGGTTGCGGAGCCTCCCTCACACCATACTTCCCCCCCGGAGAAGAGGGAAATGGGGAGAACGAGGTTTGGCCAGCCCGGGAGGTTGTTTATGTCCCGATGAGGCGGGCTCTGAATCTCCTCAAGGAGCGACACCGTGGTAAAGAAGTGGCCTCGGGCAGCAGCCTTGATGAGCAGGAAAAGCACCGAGGTTCTTTCTGACGCCGACGTGGGGGCCGTGCACGTAGAGGCCTGTAGTCCAGCTCTTGGAACAGCTGCTTGTCCCGAAGCGGCCCTGATCAGAAGAAGGAAGGAGGTCGAGGAGACCCCCGAGGAGCTGTGGCTCGAAACGGCCACGGGCGAGCAGTGCACTGGCATACCTCTCGGCGGGGTGGTCAGGACCCTTCCCGGCAAGTGAAGCGAACAGGCCTGGAGGAGGGAGCCTGCAGCAGGGCCTGCAAGGGTAGTCGTGAAGGGCGGCGATGAGTGATGACCGCGAAAACCCAGGAGCGACAAGGAGCAGGCTGAGCCGGAGCCAACGAGCCCTGAGCTTGTTTGCCCCGGACAAAGCGCACAACCTTGCCACATCGACCTCGCCTAGACCAGAGAAAATCGACTCGGGGCAAGGGGCTCGGAGGGGAGCGTCCCTTGTGGGATCGTCCGAGGCATTATGCCTAGTCGGGCCAAAGGCGTATGCCGGGAAGATTCCCGATGAGACGGCTATGGCCGCTGAACGCCTAAGGCTAGGGCGGAGCAGTTTTGCCGACGATCTACGCTTGGCCAAAGCTCCCCGCGCACAGGAAGAGTCTGCAATAAAAACCGCCCTGCAGTCCCTGCCCTCCCTGGCCAGCATGCGCATGGCTGTGATCGTTGCTTCAGTTTCGTAGTAATATATGTGCTTTTGGCGATCCCACCTCCATATACGGCCGCGGTCTCCCAGCGGGAGGTGATCAGCACGTCATTGACCGCTATGCTCTCGAAGCCCGATGGTGGCTCCGGTTCGGCCGACCCCTTCTTCCGCATCAACTCGAGAAGGCACTGAGCCGTGCCGCTGCAAGTCGTGCCCTCAGCCTTTCTCGATGCAAAGAAAAGGGGTGGCAGCTGACCTTCGGCATAGCAGATGCCAGGGGAACCAGTCGAGTCCGATTGGTCCACGGCGGGGGGAACAAGGCGGCACCCCTCCGTCGCAAGCAGGCCCTGTGCCTGGGGCAGACAGGAGGCCTGAGCCTCTCTTGAAGAAGAAGAGAAAGCTTGGCACCTTTGCTCTCACGGCTACCTTAAAAATGCCAAGGCTCCTGGCGACAACGGCGGGGAGGCCAACGCGCGAACCGGCCCTCTTTCGCGGCGCTGTGAGAGCGGAGGAGGGAAGAGTGATGACCAGGCTCCGGGCACGGCCGCTCCAAAGCAGATGGAAGATCCACTCAATGAGGGGTGTCCTGGTCACGTCGAACTCGAGGGTCAATCAGAGGGGACACCCGGAGCCCCTTTTGCAAGCAGCACTCGGCAACACCTCGAGCGCCTGCGAAAATGCAAAGAACGTCAAAGTCAAAGGCAAGGGGCCTGAAGCCTGACGAGAGGGATTCGGGAACCTCGTGATCGTCCTCTAGGGGATGAGCTGTGTCCGGGAGGTTGGGCTGCTCAAGCCGAGTATAGCAACCCTTCTTATCAGTACTAAGCCATAATGAGGCTGCCACCTCGGGCTGCACTGATGACACACAGACGGCCCCCTTGAGACTCGACGAGTCAGAGCAAAATATTCGATCGCAAAATTCCGCAGCAACGTTGGACGCTGCGAAAGGAGCGAGAGAGGCTAGGATGACGAGCTCCTGAGCCTCCTTCCTAAACAAAGGACGGAGCTGGCTTCCAGCAGCATGGGTGGCCTCGGACTTACCAAGCGCAAAGAATCCGTCTAAGACCGAAAAAAGGCATCTCCTGAACATAAGCACGGAAATCCACGTAGACTCGCCCCTGCGAAAGAGGAGTAGCCGTGGAATTCACCTGGGCTCCAGCAGCCGTGAAGAAGTCGGCCCCATTGACATCCTTGTGCGGCGACCCGGCTACCTTTGCCTGGTCGTAGCAATCCCTGGCCCTCGCAACGATTCCTGCCGCAGCAGACATGCTTGGACTCCTTGCCGGGGGCTCGACCGATAAACAGAAAAAATCGTCTATGATTAGCGCCTGCCAAGGGTTGTTTGGCTGGGCGCATGTTTGGCACGGAGTCGTCCCTCCTCGGGTAAGAGGCCGCAGTCCTGAAGAAGGCTAGAATGACCTTCTGTCGCGTACTTTGATATAGGCTGCGGAAAGCGCCCCTGACAGCCGTGCCGGGGTCAAACAACAGCGAGGCTGAGACGTGAGGAGTGACAAGGCGGGCGCCCTCAAAGGCGGAGGAAAGGGAGGACCCCGAAGAGGCACGGCCAATGCTTCTAGCCAGAGCCCGCGCCTTCTCTAGGGTTTTGGTTCCCTCGAGATCACACAGCCGGAAGGGGGGGCCGATCGCATTGCCTTCAGCTTTGGCAGCGGTAGTCTTGGCTTGATGATAGAAGTCTGCTCGATCGGTACTAGCTCCTATGAGCTTGTAGCCTGGCGGCACGGTCACGGTCAGCTGCGTGAGCAGGTGGCCCGGCGGAAGGAATCGCGAAGGCCCGCGGACCCTGCCTTCACACGCGTTTGCCCCTCTTCTGTCACCAATCATGCGATCAACAAGATCATTTTTGTACGCCCCGAAGACCCTGGTAAGGTCTTTTGGGCGCTTATGCTCGAACGAGAGGAAAAGCAGCCCCTTACTGTCCCAAAGCTTGAGGAGCTGGAGGCTGCGCTGGGGATCCTCATCATCAGCTGGAGGATAAGGCAGTGTGTTCTCCGGTATGGACCTGAGAGCAAGGGGCTCGAGGAAGCCCAGACGAAGTTCGGGGCCAAGGTGCTCCTGCAGGTCCCAGGCTCCGTCACCAGAGATCTTCAGCCTGCTGGGGTCAGCCTCACGGTAGGGGCGAAGGCACCCAGGGCCATCCTCTCCATGTGCAACGAAGCCCGAAAGCTGCTCCTTCTTTGGATAGGGGAAGGAAGAGAGACCTAAGGAGGCCAGGTGGGGACGGCCCGAGGCGAGAGGATGGGCACCTCTCTCACTGCACGCTTTGAGCATCGACCTGAGCCTGGAAAAGACCTTCAAATGTAGCTCGGTCGGTTGCCGCCGGAGGCTCTCAACGGGCACATTCGGAATGCAAAAAGTTCAAAGCAAGCACCGACACGTAAAGCACGCGCTCCAAAAGGAGATGCTGGCCATGGGGACAAGGAGAAAGTCCCGGAGGGCCGTTCCTCGGCACGCCCTCATCGAACAACAAAAGGCTCGGAACGGGCAGGGGAAACAAAGCGGTATCGGGGGCAGGAGGCCCCTGTCGCGGATGCAAAAAGTGGACTTTAGAAAACGAGCGAAAGAAGTCCCGGAGGACAGCCCGAGCCTTGGCATTGCAGCGGCCCATGTCCAAGAGTCAAACTCGGAGCAAAAGCTGGGCGGGTCCTCGGAAGTGTCCACGCCCTGCGCTCGTGGTGCAGCGTGGGGGGGAGTATTGCAGGAAGGCGGCGCGGCTGGTGATCCTGAGGAAGACCCGGCCGGGGAGGCATTACTCCCTCCTGCAAGACCTGAACCTAGACCTGTAACGGCATCTTGAGCTGTGGCAACTGCACGGTTCCGCCTAGCAGACTCTGAACACGGGAACACAGGGCCAGGAGCGCTGGCATCGGATTGCGGCGGCACTCCTGAAGACCTGACCTTGGTTCCTGAACCTGGCTTGCGCGGTGGCTTGCGCGGTGGCTTTTGCACGAATCCGCCCGGCGGGAAGATCAATGCTTGACGTCACAGGGCCAGGAGTGCAGGAGACGGATTGCGGCGGCACTCGGGAAGACCTGACCTTGGACCCTGAACCTAGACCTGTGGCAGTGGCTTGCGCGGCGGCTTTTGCATGAATCCGCCTAGCGGGAGGCTTGAAGCTTGGCAAAACAGGGCCGGGAGTGCCCGCCTCGGATTGCGGTGGCACTCTTCGGGAAGACCTGACCTTGGACCCGACAACAAAAGACGTGGGCACCTTGCGACCTACGCCTTTGCCTGAGCTGTCACGGCTGCCTTTCGCTCCGCCCAGAGCTTCGCCCTCTGCTGTTTCCGAGTAAGAGGAGGGGGCTTGGGACCACCAGGATCCGGTGGAGGGACCACTGGTCGCTTTGCCACCTCTGCCCTCCTGGTCGCCAGAGTCTCCATCTCTTTCACAAAAGCTAGTGAGGTGGCGACCCATTTGGCGTCCGCCAGGTGGGAACATGGCCTTAGGCTTGACCCTGGCATGTTCGAGGGCGCGCTGAAAACCGGGTTCGGCGGGTCCGGCTGCAAGGTAAGTACCCAACCAAGTTCCGGAGAACCAGCATCGAGAACGAGTTGGTCTATCATTACCATCAGCAGTGCGACCGCATCTTTGGCCCCTCCGACCTGATCGGTGGTGAGGAGGTCGAAAATCTGACCTAGTTGCCACTGCACCAGGCCCCGTACACGGTGGTCCTTGAAGCCCCGTAACGCTCCAGGTATCGCGTCATGACCGGGGCCTGCTGGGCCCCTCCAGCAAAAGCCTGGAGGTCGACCGTAGGCTCCATGCGTCTCACCGCCGCCTCGTAGACTTTGTCGAAGAAAGCCCCGTTTCGGGCAGCTTTTTCTGTAGTCGGAGACGTCCTGCCGAACCCTTTGTCGACAAGGAGCTTGCTGACCCAGTAGCGAGGTCGCTCATGGGGTCGGACCCCGACAGCTGAGCCACTAGGGCAGTGAGGGCTCTGCTTTGCGCCTCGGGCTGCGCCACTTCTTCGCCCAGACCATCCAGAGGCATGCCGTCTAGCTCGGGGTGCGGGACAGGGACGTCCTGGGAGGCGCGCCTAGTATCTCGGCAACGGCCCTTGGGCCTGCAGAGGAAGGTGCGATGGCCGCCGAAATCGGAGCAGCCAATGCCGGTCGTGGAGGCTCGGGAGGAAGTCTGGCAGGGGGCTCGCGAGGTTGCCCCGCCTTTGCCAGGGTCTGCACCTGGGAGGACAAGGCCTGCAGCGCCTGAACGATCTCTGACTGCTGCGCCGCCAAAACGACCGTGAGTCGCCTCTTTGCCTCGACACCTGCCTTTTCCCCCCCGGAGGAGCCTGCTCTTCCGCAGTGTAGTGGCCCGCGCCCCGTTCGCTCTCCACCCCTGCTGCCCAAGTACCCGCATAGGTCGAGGTGGGTGGCCAAAGGGAAAAGGCTGCCTGCTTCTTCCAGGAAGGGCACACACTCCAGCAGCCCCTCTTCCAGAACTTTTATACCTGCAGAGGCCTCCTCCTTGAAGTCGGCAACCAACACGTTGATCTCCCTGGCAGGATAAACACCTACCCACTCCCCTCCATCGGAGAGCTCTACTGCAGGCGAGCTCGTCTGCACGTAGGGGCCGAGGATCCCTGTGTAACCTTCGCGAGTGGCCTCGTCCAGGACGGGCTGGGGAATGTACTCTGGCGGAAGGGCAAGCAAGAAGCCCCCTTCTCTCTTCATGATACAGTAGCACACGGCCCAAGCGGCATCGCCTCCGAGCTGTAGGGCTCTCTGATAGTTCAGCTTCAGTAGGACAACCTGTCCACTGTCCGCAGGGACCAAATCGTCCATCATCTCGTCGAGGGAGTGGGGTACCGGAGACCGGCCCCTGCCACGTAGATCCTCGCCTCCGTCTCGGTGGGGAAGCCGTGCGACAACGTATAGGAACTCTGCAAGTTGTCCACAAGGACAAGGTAATCAGCCCGATTATAGGCCAACTGCACTTCGTGGCTGCGAGCCGTACGAAGCATCACGTAGATCCTTGAAGCAATGCTCAGTCGAGGGGTGCAGCTAGGAGTGTTGATGCGGCCCTGAAGAACCGCCCCGGCCCAGCAGCCGGCTGTCCAAGCACGAATAGCCTTTTGGGGGGGGCTCGACACAGAGGAGCGCAGGCTCCGGGCACTATCCAGAAGGACAGGCGGTATCGCAGGGAAAGAGGCCTCAATCGAGGAGCGCGCTCGGGCGAGCCCACGGGTCCTAGGGTAGGCGGGTTAGGGCCCCTAGTAAAACCAGACTCAACCCTACCACCCGACCTAGGCGGCGTAGGCAAGGAACTCGCCGACTGCGAGCTCGAGGCACGTGGAGTCACTGGGTCAACAACCGAGAAAGAAGAGGAAGTAGGGGGCAATGCAGCCCTGGTCCGAGTGATTGAAATCCGGAGCCCTTCAAGCTCCAAAGAAAGCTGGGTGACGGCCTCCTCCTCAGAGACGGGTGTGCCCATACAAGGAGAGCCTAGCCTGTCCAGCCTGCTGGTTATCAAAATCCCGGCCCCTGGCTCGGGCGAGGTGGTGAATCGTAGGACGAGGAGGATACAAATAAAGGAGGATGGCAAAGCCAGCCGAAGTGATAATTCCAAGAAGGAAAGCGCACAGCACAGCCGCGACCGAGGTCCCCTGGCAATGAACTGGGCAACCTAACCCCCAAAGATTGGAATTAAGACCCTCCGAAACGAAAGAGAGAACCTCCCGAAGCAGGGGCCCCCACATTGCTTAAGCCATGAGATGCGTTTGCGGAAACTCGTCACTATAGTCATCCGATCTGCCTCCTGTCTACCTTCCTCACGGCCACGTCACCCCACACTCATCGTTGCAAATCCCCAAACCGCTGTCCCAGTCTTCATGGTTCTGCCCTCCTTTCGTGTCCTAGCTGTGCTGCTCGCAGGGTGTTCTGCATGCTGCTATTTCTTTTCAGTGAAGCTTCGCTGAATAATTAAACGCACACACCCAAACAAACAAACAAACCGCTCCTGCACGTGAGATTCTGCCCAGCAGCCCCAGCGGAGCATACCCAGAGAAACGACAGCTGGCATACCACTTTCCAGAAGTCGCCGGAGCGACTTTGCATCAGGTGTTGGTCCAACAGCCGTCATTGAGCCTGCCAGTCAGCACAGCCACGCAGTCGTGAACGGAAGACTTCGGCCAAGGCACCGTTGCCAGTAAATTCCAGAAGGAGGTGGCTCTCGTTTGGAAGCATAGCCACCACCGTCACGGCAGCTTCGAGTGTGCCAGCTTGTGTTGACCAGCACTCGGACCAATCCGACCACCCGCCTGTGACAGGGAAAGGCGATTGAATGCACAGCTCCTTCAGCCTTAAGACTTACAGGTTTCGCTGTGCATGTCACACCTGAGATCATCTCGAGGTTAAGTCGCGCTTCGCCCTCGAGGAAGCCAAGCTGCAGAGCCATCTGCAAAGGGTCCGCAGCTGGGCCATCGGCCCACTCAAAAGCCAAGGGTGCAGTCCAAATCTCCTCTCTCCTTTCCAACCTCTCTCCCTCCTCCGCTTCCTCCGCCAGCGGCGCCAGCGGTTGCTGAAGTCTCAGGACCGCCGCGAAGAGAAGTCGGTTTTCTGGCTTGGCTGCGCGCACAGCCGCCATGGCACACAACAAGGCTTCCCTGGACAAGGCGGGCCAGCGGTCCTCCTCCGTGGGGACCCAGCCTGCGAGCTGACCTGCCTTCTCGCGCCAGCGCAGTAGTTTCAACGTGCCGAACCTCGCCAAGGCCTCCTCAAGCCATTTTTGGCCCAAGCTGGCCAAGGGGAAGGCGAACTGCACAGGCAGGCAGTTCAGGGAGCGTGTCAGCTCCGAGATCCTCGCTGTTCTTTCTGCCACCGGAGAGAGCAGCACGTTCACAGCAGGAGAGACATGCGCAAGCCGCTGGAGATCGCGAGGAGCGGCCACCGCGGCCACAGTCCAGAGCGCATCTCCCAATGCCGGCAGCAGGGCCCCCGAAGCGCCCTGCATTGCTGCTGGCTGCTAGTGTGTCTACATGCAAAGGTGAAACAAGTCACGCCATGTCATGCTGTGCTGGTCGAACGCCATTTGATCTGAAGTCTGTTGGCTCTTGTGCGTTTGTGCTCAAGGAAAGAACCTTCCGGCGAAGTTCAGCCAGTTGAATGGTCACCATGCCAGGGCTACTTGTATGCCGCATGCATGCAGATATCAAGCAACCGAACGGCCTTTGCTGGGCTTCGATTTTTCGTAGGACTCAGCTACTACGGCCTGACATGCTTAAAGCTACCGGCATTCATGCCAGGCAGACAGCGGAAGGCAGCCTTTGAAGCTGAGAACCCTCTGAAGAGCAGTGAGAGACATGCTTCAGAATGCCCGGAAAATAGGTTGGCATTCTTGGGGATCCCTTTGGATTCCTTGTTCAGACTTGTCTGTGTAGACTGCTTCCCTTTGCAGCAGCGGTACAGATGGGGTCTAGGCGAAGGCCACCCAAGCCCATCCTCCAAGCGACTTCAGTCTCTGCAAGGCACCCACACCTTCACAAAGGCTCCTGCAGGGCTTGTGACAGGCTCTGACTGCCTCTCTGCTCTGGGCCACCAGTGCCTGGACGGAAGTTCCTTGAGCTTGCAATCATCCATCAAGGCCTAAGCAGCGATTGTGCACGAATCCTCCATCAATTGTCACCGAAGTGACCTGGGCACCTGGCGACAAAGGCCTCATCCACCCAGCCACCCACCTCGCGGAGGCATAGAAGGGCACTGGTGCACTCTGGACAAGCAAAAGACCTCGCGGCATTTCCCGCAGTCCGCCTTGCCCTGCGGGTGCTCCCAGGCAGCAGGAGGTGGCTGGAGCAGGGCATCGGCCTGGGTCGCTCACTGAGACGCTAGGAAGTCGGTCCTCGGTCTTTGGCTCAAAAGCCAGCGCTTATTGAGTACAGTCACGAGAGCACGTGCGTGCGCCACCCTCGCACCCTCTGCGCGAAGCTGTGCCCTTGTTCTTGTCTTGATTGGGTGAAACGGGCCTTTCGGAGAAGAGCACCTCCCTCTGTCTTTGGATTGAAAGGTTAGGTGCCAAATGGATCGACATTGCCACAGCGGAAGTCGGCAGGGGCAAGGCTTATGTAAGACTGCAAAACTGAGCGGTCCAAGCCCGGCAGGTTCCACGCGGAGTCACGGGCCTTAGGAACATGGGACGGCATGGTCGATGCATGTCAAGGCTGCGCATCGGCCTATCATCCGGAAAAGGACCCGGCGTGCCCCCAACCAACTTGGCGAAGGTTTCCGCTACCCACCCGGCATTGAAGCCTGAGCACGTGAACAAACAAGCACGGCAGTCATCCAACAAGTTTTCGACCAAGCAGACAATCTCCTAAGCAGTATGGCAAGACACTCAGGCACCTCGGATTCGCTGATTCTCCAAATCAAATCCTGAGGCTAAAGAGACCCTGGACGAACCTGCTCATGCTCGCTACATCACAGGAATTCGGATGCGAACCGCTGAACCCCAGTGCACCGCACTCTATGGACTCGCCGAAGCCAAAGCAAAAGAAAACGACCTCCATAAACCTTACCGACGTACCGAGCTAGAGCTGCCAAGAACCAAAGACATGAAGTATTGAGGCTGTGCGCCCCCGCCTCGGCGATGCTTCTGTGGATCCACCTCCTGGGCAAGATCCCGCAGCGCCGTCTCCACCTGAGACTCAGAATGAGTTGTGTGGGGACACCTCCTCCTTGGGGTTTACATGGTCGCCAGAACTGATATACGCTGCCGGATCCCTCCCCGCCGCCTCGTGACACTTGTCGTTTGCGGAAGATGGGATCGCCACCCAGAGCCCGAACGCGCAAACCACAGCGAGGGACGAACGAGGAGACGGGTGTTATGCAATGATCCGAGTTAGTATGGTAACAACCACCATAAGGATGACAATACTCTTAACAGATAGCTGTAACTATATCTCTGTAGAACACACTGCCCCCTGCCCTAGCTTTCTAGCTGCTTAACAGCCACGCACAGCATGAGAGGACAGGGAGACCAAGAAGCCGAGAGACCGAGAACCCAAGCAAAAAAGGGCCGCAGGGGGCAGCAGCCCTGTGTCATATGTCATATCAGAGTCATATCTGGTGGCTTCCAAAGGTATCGGCCTGAACTCACAAGCGTCCTCACCCACCGGCTCCAGGAAATACAATCCCGACTGCTCTCAAAAATACACGGTGCATGTCGGTTCTGATGCTGGGGCATACACCCACCCCAGCGGCGTAACGGCCTGCATGCGGCGAATGTTTTTGGGCAAAGTGACCCTTGGTGGTGGCCACTTCCTATCGAGACCGGACCACAAGTCGCCGAGCTCTAGGTGTCCAACCGCAGACTCAAGTGCAGAATAGCATAACATATAGCCATAGAGTGTTCGTAGCACGGACCTGCCTTTGCCTGACCCTCCGGCTTGACACGGCCGTCACGGCCAGCATCGGCAAGGACCCTTGCAATGGCCACCTTGCGGCTTTGATCGAGGGCACCGCTGGTACGTTCTGTGAGCATCTTTCACAAGGAGTCCACGTCGTTACCCGACTCAATTTCGAGTGCAGGCGTTGTGCTAGCTTTCGCACGATGTGGTCTATTTCGAATGCTTGGGCTTATGCATCGAAGCGGAACCAACACCAAGAACCCAGCACATCTTCAGTAGCATCCAAAGTCAGCCAGCGGCCAGTCCGACAACGCGACGGGAACCGCTCAGACACCGCTTCCGGGGTGCCTCCAGTTTGGCCTTGGCAGCTTCGAAGCAGCGCGAGGCCTTGCGAGGGCAAGGCTCAGACTTTGTCGTTCTTGGAACTATTGAGTAACTGTACAAGCGCTTCTCCAACAGTACCAGTCGGTGGAAGGTTCACAGGATGGCGCTGGGCTGGAGCTGCTATGATACATCATGAAACGAGGCGATCAAGAAGTCACCCGACGGCAATCCGATGGCAAGTCCGTCGTCTCAGCCTCGTCTGGGTCACAGCACCGCACCACACAGGAAGAAGAAAGCGAGAAAAGCAAACTGTGATGCTCACTGCACTGCTGCCGACAAGGCGACACATGACTCAAACGCCAAGTAATGTGCAGCTGCTGAGCCTGTCCGCTTGGAGCTGTAAATGCACAGCCCCAGTTGCTGAGCTGTGTCTCCCCACTACTCTTCTCTGATTCGGAGCATTACACCATGCAGCAGAAAACAACTCCCGAGACTATCACAGGCTACGGGAGAGCAGTAGCAGCAGGAGCTGGGCATCACAGAAGCTTCAATCTCCACACAATTTCTATTGTCTTGCCTTAGTCCTGCAAATTGCCTCGGATGAATCGATGGAATCCATTGGAAGCTGCAAGCTCCACGGGTGATTGATGACGTGCATTCCGACTGAGCTCGGTTTGATGTCGACCGGACAAAGGTCTTCACCCGCCGCGCACATACTGTTAGAGTCACGGGCATGTGTTGACCAAGTTCTTGAGATCGTTGACGACACTCCAGCTCTCTGGGTACGACAATCGATAAGCTCGCAGGAGCTCGGCCGGCACAGAAGCGGAGCTGTTCAACACAATCAAGCGACAGCTTGATTCCACATGCCTCGGCAATGGCTTTCTTTCCGACCTCTGGCAGACTCTAGCAGTCAGGCAAGGGAAAGGCAGGGAGGAAAACTTTCCGGAGAAATCTGATGGCCTCGGCCGCCGAAGTCTCCACTTCACCTCATACGCGACTCCGAAAATGTGAATTAGCTCGTGCAAGCCAGCGATACCCGAACATGCAGAATCCAGTCCCAGCAAGGGAAGCACCGTCGAGCTGAGCCAGAGCGTCGTGGAGGTCCAGACGACGCCCACCTTGTGGAGTTTCAGTTTAGGTGAGTTCGGATCCTCTACCTCGAGACTGGCACCCGTCACACCGGTCGAGGCTGTATGGCTGTGTGCATCGAGGGAGAATCTGCGGGGATGATATGGGGAATATGGCCTTCGGCAAGTACGACTGGACGGTACCGAGTGTCGCGGCAATTCGCCACAGCACCTTGGCCGCAACAGAACATTCCCCGAAAACTGAGCTTTCCTTGATTCACTTGATGTTACTTAGATGTTCCTTGATTACTCCCTCTAGCTCCAATCATGGGCGCCGGGCGGTTTGCGAAATGAAGTACATTGTTTCGCAATCCCTGGGGCAAGAGCGCTGCGCTGCTACAGAACACTGCGGCTTCCAATGACACTGCTTAATCAACATGGGGTTCGCAACCCATGCTCCCATTGACAACAGGTGGCTACCGGGGAGAGAAGAACAAAAGAGGTACGAGGTGGCGACAAAGAAGACACGATCAGCAGAGAATCATGTGTGAATTCGCAAATGTCTTGACTCTGCTCACTGCCGCAGCTCTTTGCCTCTCCGAGCTGGCAGCTCAAAAGTTCGGACTGTGCCCTTTGCCATGGGGAAAAGCGATTTTCTGAGACTTGTTGAAAGCCCTTCTGCCTTCAGAAGAAGCGTGATTCTTGCACAAACACCGCTATTCCCATACTCACCACAATGCAGTCCATTCTGCACGTCATATCGACGACAAACATTCCCGCCCATGCTTCCAGATCCTTCTTAAAAACACATGACACTGAATGGACAGGGAAGTGTGCTGCCGAATGAGAGATTCATAGAGGGAAGGCCGAACTGTGTTCTTTTTAGTCCGGGCGTGGCAGAACTTGCAACACTAAGCATAAGTCAGGGTTCGACGAACGACGGAACATTGCGTCCTGACCACTGCTGACAGCTTCAACGGATCGTCTTGCTCGATCCGGTCTTGAAAAGCCGAGAACATAGCTCGTTCGGTGAGGACCAGGCCATGAAAGTGCGTACCCTAGCATACTCCAGCAACCAGCAACAGCAGCGGCCTGAAGATGCGCCGGAGACGCTTTGGGCTGCTTTTCGCTGGCGTGCCTCGGATCCAGTCGCAGATGCTCAACAACTACACCACTGCGTGCTAAGACTCAGAGATTGTCACGAAAGTCCATCCAACTCCCTGTGAACCTGGCCGTCGAAAGCTGTGCTCCCGCATTGCCTGACCACGCTGCGGACAAAAGGCAACGCAACCTGGAAACGCGAAGCACAACCGGCACAGTAGCTCTTCTGTTTCGCCAAGCCAAACGGCCTCTCGCAAGCTGCACGATGGCCCTGCCGTCCCGGCACTTCGGTCGGGAAGCTGTCCACCCCGGACGGCCAGAACGGCACGTTAAAACACAACCCTGAACCCGGACTTAGGCACGGATTTCGAACAGGGTTGGAGGCTGCAGGGACTCCGGGGTGGCATTCAGTCTGGGCGCAGCTGAGCTTCACGAGTCTGGAAAGAGTAATCAGCATTGTGAGCGATGGGGAGATCTGCTGCAAAAAGCATTGCAGTAGTGATGCAGATTCCGATCTCCACACCTAGCGGTGAGCTAGCACCGCAACATCTTCCAATGCTTCAAAGATCCTGTTTGCGAGCTCTTCAAGCCGCGAGGAAGACCTGAGGCGGAAGGCGCCTAAGGCGCTCAGAGCGCTTCGGTCATTTCTTGTGGGAAGCTTCCTCAGATCGGCGAGGATGACATGCGACTCTCCCGCACTGATACCGGCTTCGATATCACATGAGACCGCCATGAAAGCCCGTGCAAATTGAACAAGTCTCGTTCTAACTCCTTTTTTCTGCTTGAGCGCTCTCGTGTCAATTCGATCCCCCCACCCTTCAGCTTCCAACCCTCTCTCGGCGAAGCCAGTCAATCCCTCAAGACCGTGGCGCCTGGCCATAGTGCAGGATCGTGAGGTCCAGTTTGTCGTCCGTGGACAACCTGTACATCAGCTCAGCTGATTTGACACCGGACACCGTTTGCCGACCGCAGAACTGAGTTGCTGGCATCTTTGTCATGTCCTGACTGGACACTCTTCGTGTCTCTCTTTGCATGATCTATTGTTTCAAGACTTCCCAGAACGGAATCATGCCAGCGTTCTTCCCCTCACGAGGCACCACAACTTGGAAGATCCCCGATGTATCCTATCGAAAACTCCTGAAGCGGAGTTTGAGGAAACAGCCGCAGGGGTGCCAAGGGTGGCATCTAACGACGAACCATGAACCATTGCCATTTAATCTTTGAAGCATCTGCATGCTTCCAACTCCTGAGTAGAAAACCACAGATGTTTTCGAAACCTGTGTGCGTGACGGTGTTCCTCAAGCCGGCAGCATCTGAGGAGAAGGTGAAGCTCTCATCGGCAGGAGATATGTGCAAGCGGAATGCTTGCAAAACAGCGCAAGCTTCCGCCGTGACAGATTTCAAAGTGGTCCGAAAAGGGCGCCCCACACAAAGGAATAAAACCCAAACACATCATCAGAAGTCCTCTGCTCCCGACGCTGCACCACCAATTGCCAGGATCCGGTCCCCAGGCACTATTCTCAAAGACGGATGGGCATCGTTCCAATTCTTCAAGAGGCCCTCCGGGAGGATCCTCAGGTATGAAACTAATTGGAGAGCTCGCAGAGGGTCCGGTGCTCAAGGTTCGAAGGGGTTACAACCCGTTGTCTGAATAGCATCTGCCTGTCATGACAGCACGGCCGGTGCGGTCAGCAGCGAAACACAAAACACTGCGAAGTCCACTGCGGATTGAAACGAAAACAACGTTGCCTCAGCATGTCTGTGCACACAAGTCTGCATCCTAGCCACTCGTTGATCACGACTCCTCGGGATGATTTCCTCGGTTATTGATTCTGAAAAGTAGAACAAACTGAGATTCGGATCCTGAACAGGTGCTGCAAGCTCTACCTTGCCTTTGGCACCTACTGGAATGCTGAAACTGTCTGCCGAGTCGCTTGTAATGCAGCTTGACTCCCAAGCCTTATACTTGCGGGCAGAGTCCAAAACTGGCAACTACAGCTCGTCGTGACTGCAATTAGCAGAACATTTGGGAAGATAGTGAATCATGTTTGGGGAATCTCTATCTTGCACGTGCTCCTGCTAAAATGTGACGGCTCTTGGTGGCACAAGTGCCTGCGGAGTTTGCACGCAAACAGATTCTATCAAGAAGCTGTTGCCTTCCCTTACGAGGGAGATCTCGCGATGCTCGGGCCGCCGGACGGACAACGTAAGCTCTTCGCCTGCTGGGGAATGCGAAGAGAGGGTGATAAGGCACGGAGTTTGTGGCAGGCTACCGGGGCGCATGCAGGCTGAACAATTCAACTTGGATTTGTTGTCAGAGCTGAACATGTGCATGAGGACATTCTGTTGCTTATACCTCCGTGAGCATACATACATACATACATACATACATACATACATACATACATACATACATACATACACACATACTCACTTACTTACTTACATACATGCATACGTACATACACAAACGAAAGAACAAATCTACCTACCTACCTGCCTACCGCCTGCCTGTCTGCCTGCTTGACTGCCTGACTTACCTCTACCTACCTACCTACCTACCTGCCTACCTACCTACATACCTGCCTACCCACGGACCTACATACCTACATACATACCTACAGACATGCAATCTTACAGACATATGCAGACGTAAAGACATACGTACATACATACCAAGCTCATACCTAAATACATACCTACATACAATGCATACAGGCATGCATGCATACATACAAATGCTTGATAATACTTGTACCAACTGCCGAGGGGTTTCAGGCCTCAGCACCAAGCAATTTGCACAGGGTTGCATCTACACATCTGCAAAATTCGCACGCAGGCATCAACAAACACTGCTCTCAGGAAACCCTCTGCTGCCTGAAAGGACGATTCGATCTTGGAGTTCCTCCACAGTGCCTGCCTCGCAGTGGTGACGTTATTTGTCCAGACGAAGTCGCAGTCGTTGGAACTACGTTGTCTTGCAATGCATGCACCCTGTCTTTGCTGACCTTCTGGCTACTTGTCGTAGCATGACTCGTTCGCCAAATGAGCGGATCGAAGGGCCTGGCCGTTGACCTCAAAGATCTTGTCCTTACAAAGGCACGTCGAGCGGCCAAGTTCCGCTGCGGGTGGCATGTAACAGCCGAAGCCCTTTGCAAAGTGTCGGACGTTTGCTGACCAAGTCTCGTAGGGTCTGACACTCCTCTCGGGATCGCTACGATTCCAGTCCGGCAAGAGTCCATCGTCCAAGATGGCCTTGACCTCAGGGCAAGCAGTATTGCTACCGCTGCGATCAACCGTGTTGCACAAAGCCTTCCACGTATCCGAGGGGCCATGAGTCCGCGATGGATGTCGGTAGTATCGAAGTCAGCTCCGAGCGTTCCTTGACTGGGTTGGAATCATTACGCCAAGCTGCCTCACCCAAGTCGAGATGTCTTCCTGCTGCATTGCTTCACGAAGCCAACCATCAGCCAAGCGACTCTTGTCGTACTTCAAAGTCACCTATGCTGCAGGACCAGAAGCAGTCGCCAACAGAGCTCGGGGCTAAACCTCCCCACTCCCTGTCACAGCGAGGCTGAGGCTTAGGCCTTGAAGGTGGCTGCCTTCCGAGAGGCTGCAGACATGCCCAATGCCTCATCAGCGGCCGGCCTTGGATCCGGCTGTGACAGACAACAGCTACTGCCGCATGAAAGCAGGAAGTCTTATTCAACTTGCAGTCGATGCACTGCAAGCATCAGACCGTCATACGACATGTCACTCCGGCACTCCAAAAGCATTGAATCAAATCACTACCCCTGGAAGGAACAAGATGCATGCACACTTCGCATGGCCCTGTGTCATACATCAAAGAATGCTTCACTCGCCACGCCGCTCACGGCCGTCCAAAGACACCTGCGAGAAGCGCAGGTGCACTTGATGGATAAGCTGCTCCATGCTCGCGTGAGATAGCAAGTCGCAGGTTCTCTTGTGGCAATGAAACCGTATGCTCGTAGAACGAGCGCCTGTAGCTCATCACGCTTGTCCGGCTCCGAGCAACAATACATGGAAGCCTGCAGCGCTCGCACTCGCACTGACGCACTGCTCGCACCCGGGGTCACCTCCTCCCTGTGCCTCTGGCGCGCTGCCAGGCTGCCAGCTTGAGCCAAGCTTGCCAGCAGAGCAGGGGACCGGGGAGCAGGATGCATTTTCCAGTCTGTCTGTCTGTCTATGTGCGTACACAGATCCTGACACTGGAATGTCTCCAGTTCCTCACGGCCGGCCTCGACGAAGCGCTCGGCGGTCTTGGAGTCCTGGTGCGGGGCAGTGGCCAGAGGGAGGATGCGATACACGACCCGGCCATAACCACTTTGCGAGGGAACTGCGGACTGCAACAACACTCGAAATCTGCAACTGAGAACAAGCCTTCGCTCTGATTCCTTCACTTGCTGACTAGAGTGGAATGTTGATCCGCTGATGGATCGGCTTGGCATGTGCTGGCCTGTCTTGTGATACACTCCTAACAGCCTGAATGCAGGGTCCCTGAAATTGATGAAAGCATAGCCGACGCTATTCTTGTTGCGCATGTCCTCAGTGGCCAGAGCACATGAAGCGACATTCCTAGCACGACATCCACGGAAAGTCCATAAACATCACGTCAGAGAGCAGCACCCTACACTGAAGACCCAATTCTTGCCAGGTCGCCATGGGAAGGTAGAAGAAATCGTAGCAGCCTTCAAAGCCCAGCCTGTAGTTACAACAGTGCACCGCTGCGTCGCTGCTACTCAATCCTTCGCTTGCTTCTGAGGCCCGAAGTTGCTCAACTAAGCGTGCAGCTGGTCGACTTCTTGCATCAAGGACCCTTGTGTGTACCTTCCAGAGTCCAGGCAGCACACGCAAATCGGAATAGTCAGCATTGCGCAATCATTAGTAGCTTACCCATCGGCGTCCGGCAATGACTTGCAGGCTGCAAATGGGCCTGCAGGGTATGTTCCGCAGCATGATTGTGGAAATGGGCCTCACAATCCGTTCAAATGCACAGTCGACCTGCATGCCAATGACCAGCGACAAGAATTGCGAACTCTCACGGAAAGATGCCATCTCATGCAAGCGCCCAAAAGGGTGAATCAAGCGTGCGGCTGGTCTTTGTCAGGAGGCTTTGCAGAGAGGGCCAATGCCTCGCAGGAGATGTTGTTTACCACAATTGACTGACATGCTGCTTGCAATTTGCACACCGTTGGATCCGCAGCCCTAGCTGGTGTGAGTCAACATGTAAACGGCAAACATGTAAACAGCAGGTGCAGCACAACAGGCGCCCGTGGAACTGCGCTGGCATGATGCGGCTCGAAGACATCCCTGCACGAATCACAGCGGCATCAATGCTAACCCAAGCCATTCTTAACGACCACGGCTCGTGCTGCAACACAACATGGCAAAGCTTTGACGGCAAGATCACTTCGAAACAGCAAACCTGCACTGTGAAAGCTGGCTGGTCTGCACCTGTCCCGCGAGCGACTGCGGTGTCGACGTCGGCGCCTTCGTCTGCCTGCAGTGGCGTTACACATGAAGTGCTCGTGCTCATACGCAACCGACAAAACACCAAGACAACACAAAATGGAAACAAATTGTAATGGAACAAAACTTTCCAAATTGGAGCCTCGTGCGTTTTCGCAAGGCGCTGCTTCGGAAGTTATGCCGCACTCCGCGCCCTGCATCAGATCGTGGAGACATGCCCCTGCACGCTTCACACATGCCTGCAGAAAGCTACAACCTGAACTTCCTTCACTCCGACTTCTTCAGTCGGACCTAGCCTCATCTGGCAACACACCAGGATTTGCAAATGACATGCTTTACAAAGATAGTTCGTTTTTCCATATTGCTGTGTATGCAAGCCACTATGAAAAAATCACCAGTGGTGGTGCTGATTGCAAATCTTTAAGACACAACACAACTCTCTCCGTATGCCCGAAGCCAAAATGACAACATGGAGCCTGTCTGGCTACATACATTTACCGTGCAAGCTGGGCTAACTAAATAACATCTAACAACAATAAGTCCAGTCGAGGTTAGTTCCTGTGAGCACCGTGGCGACGTGCAAACAGCGAGTTCTCGTTTTGCTTGAAACCACAGAATTGAATGTGCTGATGCCGACATGTGGGAAGGCAAAAGCAAAGCACAAATCTCGCGATTCAACGTCACACAACTCTCACACCTTTTGTTTTCGGAAAATTTGTTGCGCTCAACTTAAAACTGCTGTCCAAACAAACAGCAAAGAACGGGATGTCATTGCGCTTAAAAGGCTTGTAGTAAAAACAAAAGCAATCTGCTCCTCGCAGCAACACAACCGTTGGTCAGCGCGAAGATTCACAAAATTGCACAGCATGTGTTCTGAAACTGGTTTGGTGAGAGTCTTTCACATGCTAGGGGGCAGCGAAGACAACTTGCCCGCTCTTCAGACACTGACCTGAAAAAACGACCACAACATTAGTTTTTCAGTTGACGCCAAAAAATTCCAAACTGCGGTGGCCAGCTTTACAAACTTCGAGTTCACTTAAGCCAATTTGGCATTCTCAAGCAGTTTATTTGTGCATTCGACTTGTTGGCAACGCGGAGGCCTCTTTTCTTGGAGTTAAAACCCAAACCACTTAACAAACCATCAAAACATCAAAAAAGCTGAAACTTAACTGCAAGTTCACATCAACAAAGGTACTCTGCGCAGTATGTTGCACATGGCGGCTCTTTAGCAAGAAGCCAAAAGCCGTCACCCAATAAAATGCTCTGCTTCCACACGTAAGAAGAAATTCTACGCACGATTGAAATGGCCCTTCTCAAAGGAGCTTGAAAAGAGGCTTCAAGCTCCCTTCTCAACCCCCCTGAAAGCCCCTTCTCAAGCTTCCTTTTCTCCAGTCTCCAGCTCTGCCTCCAGTCAAGCTTCCAGTCCAGCTTCCAGCTTCCAGCCCACAACCCCCTCAAAGCCTCCCTTTGAGAAGGACTTCAAGCCTCCTTCGAATTAAGAGACCCTCCTTCTCAAACTCCCCTTAAAGTTCCTTCTCAAGCCTCCCTTCAAGTCCCCCTTGAGAAGTTCCCGCCTTTGAAAAGCTCCCTCTTCTCAAGCGCCCTCAACTTTTCCCCGGAAGAAAGCTCCCTTCAAGAAGCCTCCTTCTGAACGCCCAACTATAATGAGCAGCTCCCAAGTTCCGCAACTGCACTGGAGGACCACCAGTTTGGAGCTTGAGTTCACCTCCATTTTCTAGCACGTTGAATCTACTCAGCCCAGTCCAGCCTACTGCTTTTGACAAAGATATGACTCGATGTCTTCCTTTCTCAAGGAACGGAGCTGGGGTGCTTAAAAGTTTGAGAAGAGAAAGAGCTTGAGAAGGGGTTCAGCTCCATCATCACATCAACTGAGAAGACATGTGGAATTTCTGGAGGCATGCTCCATCACAGTCCAGCGCTTTCTTTTCTCTTGTATTTCCCTCTTAAAACTTTCATGCTGAGAGAATTCGACACCGTTGAATCAGGGCATAAACATTAAAAACTGAAACTTGAGTAAAATACTCCAAGCAAATCGGTCTGGATATTGCTGAAACATCTTCGAAAATTGTAGTAACGTCAACGAAAAATTTGCATACCATAAAAGAAAAACAAAACATTCATTTTGTTTTTGGTTGCTTTTTCCCACGCTAAAACAATTTTGTGTGACTTCTCTTACTATCGTGTTGCTTCTTGTACACACAGGATAGGGGGTCCTGAGGGTACACATTAAAACTCGGCCGTTTTTTCACGCAAAAACGGCCTCTTCGAGCTTTCCTAGATTTTCTGAAAGCCGTAT